TATAACTTTTTTGTAAGTATATTTAAAAATAAACATTGACACAAATACTTCTATTTTAGGGAAAAAACTACATGGTATCACTTTATCAAGTTCATAATATTAGTCATCGATAAGAGGATCGCTATGGTTGAGTGGCTATGTTGTTCAGCAGGTATCGACTATCACCAACCATGGAATGGCCTTGAACAAGTCACTAACAATTCTTTGTCTCGGATTACCTATCCAATACCCAGTGGACTATATTGTGACATACATCTGCTGTTGTGGTTAGTTAGCGTATATGGAGAACTGAGCATTAGATCTGTCTTCTGTCTAGAGCTACTGCTAGTCATAGTTGTTACGAAACTATCGAGCTACTGAATCTGATATAAGGCAACTGCAAGATAGTCCAAAAGCATAAGTATTTTTTGCCATCGATAAAGTCTTTCATCCTATGATAAATCTGTTTTCTTTTTTAATAATTTTATCCATAATGAATCTCGAATACTGCATCGTTAGAAAATCATTAATCTTGTTGTTATTTTTTCAGATTCGCGTGTCTTTATACACATATCTTAGATAAGTAAATATCTACCATGGTGCATATGAATGTACTTGCCGACGCGCTTAAATCAATAAATAATGCTGAAAAACGCCACAAACGTCAAGTGATTATTCGACCATGTTCAAAAGTTATTGTCAAATTTCTTACTGTTATGATGAAACATGGTAAATTGATTTCAAATTGTTTTCTTTTCTTTTAAATAAGAATATTTTCTATTGAAAGGTTACATTGGTGAATTCGAAATCATCGATGATCATCGTAGTGGTAAAATTGTTGTTAATTTAAATGGTCGTTTAAATAAAGTAAAATGAATATATATATATATATTTTTTTATAATTTTATATGTTTATTTTGTTAATAGTGTGGTGTTATTAGTCCGCGTTTTGATTGTCCTATTCGCGATATTGAAAATTGGACAAAAAATCTTTTACCATCACGTCAATTCGGGTAAATAAAATATTTTTATATTCAATTGAATTTTAATATTATAAATTAACAAATAAAAAAAAATTATAATTCTATTTAGATATGTTGTCTTAACAACATCACATGGTATATTAGATCATGAAGAAGCTCGACGAAAACATACAGGTGGCAAAGTTCTTGGATTTTTCTTTTAAGAAATATGCAAGAATCAAAATGAAAACAATAACAATAAACAAACAAAGAAAAGGAAAACAATTCTAGATCATTTTTTTCTGCTTTTGTTTGGACTTTGTTATTGTATCAATATTATTACGATCAACAAAGAGAAAAAAAATAAAAGAAACTATCCGCAAAAAAAATGACAAATATATAATATGTGTGTGTGTATGTTTATACGAATGGATGATTGATGAAGTAGTGTATTTTTTTTTAATCCTTATTGTCGAACACTATATATTGTCAAGTGGTCAACTGATACTTGACTTTATACAGGTCATTGTCACCTGCTTGAGTCTAAATTTTAACTGGCATTGCTCGAGGTTGATTATTTGAGTGACTGTTTGTTGTTGAAAAACAAAATAGAGAAAATATGATTGAAGTAGAAAAGACAATGAAGCCATTGAAAGCAGACATATTCATTTGTTCCATTGGCAAGGCACATTCGTCATGACATAGAAAGGAAATCCATCCGTCTTCTTCTATTCATGCAACGAACGGCGATCTGTCTAATCATGAAACCCATATTGTCTCTTTCTTATTGTCATTTTCTTAGTCTCTTTTTCCTTCTCTTTTCCTTTTCTCTAATTAGCGTTTGATGAAAGAATTGAAATACATAGAGTATAAAAAAAAACGAAGAAGAAGAAGAAGGAGAAAAGGCTCATACACACACCTTCCGGTCCGTTATATAAATGTATGTGTACGTCATTCAACTCACAACGAAGGACTCTTTAATGATCCTTAAACGAACATATGGAGGCTATCGATGTTCAAGCGGTAAGTGAGGAAAAAGGAACCCAAGCGAACGAACCACTACGATATAGTTTCCGTTTTGTTTGTATGTGGTAAGAGTATTGATGCCATTTCCACCCACACGCGTCGAGCTGCCAAAACTACAGAAAGATATAGTGTTGCTACGTGTACGTGTCTATATAATAACAACGACAAATTGTTCCATCTATGCTCTCATCTAGGTTCTCCTTCTATTTCTCTTGTGTGTACATGATGAATTGTCTTAGTATGGCTGTCATTTGGTTTCTTTCTTTCTCGTCGACATTGGCGATCATCGATCAATAGTTTTTACATTGGCTCAATAATAAAAGACCGAATTTCAATACTTTATCATTGTCTCGACCATTCTTTTCAAAGAATAAATATTTATTAGCTCGAATAAACAAAATACCTCAATAAATAGAATTGATCTTTTGTCTTCTTTACCACAACGATAGGCATTCTTCTTCGTCTTCGTCTCCTTGTTCTGCTTCTGCGTCTTCAACTTACGTTCATTTTGCATCATTGGTCTGGAACCATTCATTTCAATTGAAATACACACACAACGAAAATAAAAAGATACATAAAACAAATCTCTACGATTAGTAAGTAAAAGAACATGTATGCATTTGTAAATTTGTCATTCATTGATGTTCTTTCATTTCCGCTATAATGATATGAAAAGAGTTGCCGCAAAAAAAAAACAACAGTCAAATAGAGAAGAAGAAAAAACAAAGTTAATCGCCTTTTTTTGTTAATACGACAAAATTTTACATATGTATTCTCTACTACTACTTGAACTAATCCTTCTAAAGAGAAAAAACATTGAAGAAATAGAAGAACAAGAAACATTGTACATGTATGTTTGCTTTGTACACTCGTACTCGTTCAATGGATTATGCACGAATATCATTATTAGCATATAACAACCAAAATAAAGAATAAGTATGCTTTCGCCTATGTTCACACATTAAGGAACTCGTTTTCTTCCTCTTTTTTCCTTCGTTTTAAGTATATATAAGAGAGATATCATTAAGTGTTTTTCTTTGACTCCCTTGTTTGATGATGAGCAGATATAGTTAACATATATCATCGATTATGTAATATATGTGTGTGTGTCTAAAGAGAACAGGCGCACTCACATTTAATGATCTCTAATCTTCATGTGTATGTATGCGTGTGAATGATCGGGTTACTGTCTGATAAACAACACTTGTTTAATAGTATCAACGACTTCGACTTTATTTCTTTCATTTAAATCAATCTCTACTACAAAAAAAGAAAAAAATATTTGGTTCTGTTCGTTTCATCACAATGACGATAATTATTATTATTATTAGCATGTACTAGATTAACGGACACTATTGTTATAAGAACTAAGCGATTCAATTAGTATCGTGCTGTGAGTTACATACGTTTCTTTTCTTCTCGGCCTACCTTCCTTTTTTTCTTTCTTCTTTTTTGTTGAAGCTTATTTAATTACAATGGTCTTATTCATTGTGTTCGTGTACGCCTTTTAAAGTTAATTAGTTGAGTAAGAAGTAATGTTATGTATTTGTTAATGCCTATAGAGACATTCAAGACAAAATAGTTGACAGATAAGCCTATTGAGAGACATTGACCTCTACAGATAACTAGAACTACCAACAGAGACACAGGAGAACGATAACAGATGTTTTCGTTTACTGTAGTTATCTTCGAATATTTATAAATAAGAAAACAAAGTTAGATAATTGCATTGACATAATTTACCAGTCACCTTTACAAAACAGAAAACAGAAAAGAAGAGAATCGTTCATTCGTTCTACTTTAGTTCATCAACTCAAGTAAGTGTATGCGAGTGGCAGCTGTGACATTTTCAAGTTAGTCGTTTGAACGCATTCATTGATATATAAGGCTAGACACAAGTAACTAGATGGACATGGTAACAAGAGACATGTATAGACTAAAAACGATGACGATGACTCTTGTCACTTGATGCAAACTACCTATACACAAAAAAAATACGATTCTACCGGTTGTCGCTTCATAGAGAAACATACAGACATATGACACGTTCGTTGTACAAAGACAGAGAGAGAGAGAGTGAGAGAGAGAGGTAGTTGTATTCGTACGACGCCAATGATGAAACCTTTTCAATTGATGAAGCCTTGCAATTGATCTTGGTTTGTCGCCTTTATGTATGCATACATATATATATATATTATTGATGACAGCCAAGTAAAAATTTTTTTGTTGACGAACATTTTTTTTTTATTAAGTAAGGTTTGAAGAATCATAAAAAAAAGTTTCTCGATTAGGTAAGGATCGAGCAATTAGCTTGAATTGTATTCATGTCATATTTTTTTAATTGTCGTTCAATGTCATTCATATTTTCATTCTATGCACATCTCATTTTATTCTTTCTTTGTTCGTTCGTTCCCATAAAAAAAAAAAAAAAAAAGAATAAAAGAGAGACCGAATCGAGAGAGAAATATCATCTATTACTCCAGGTAGTGCGTGCATACAAGCACAAAAGAAGTGTGAGAAGATGGACTGTCTTTCTCTTGTGAAATTAACCACAGGGTATGTGGCACAACAGGTTCGTTCTTGTCAATTTTTTACGGTACGTTTTGCAGACAAAAAAAAATCACACTTCACTTCTTTTTTTTGCTTTAATGGATTTTTTCTTTTTTCTTTTAACTAAATATTATCGAACGACACGGCATAAAATACTAATCGGTCGATAAAACATAAGACGAAAAAATTATGTGACATTCTCTTATTTTTCTTTTTTTTGTCATCATTTTTCTAAATATTCATAATAGCACTTGTCTTATGCTGATACGTTAGTAAGCAAATGGGTGGTCGGTCGTTAAAACTTTAATAATTGTTCTAAACGTTCATTCATTCACATTCATTCTCTTTCTTTTTTTATCGTCTGTTTTTCAGATCTTTATGCTGTACAATGTAACTTGGCATCAGCTTGCATAATAACTTGCCATAAGGGGTCACGTTCGAATCTCTCTCTATATATATACTCACATTTAAAACGTTTTCGTTATGGCCATGACATCAAACTCTATGAATAAAAGCTTTTTTGGTTCAATTTCATGTACACGTTCATCATCACCAACGACAATCAATAATAAACATAAAACAAATTCTATATTACCATCATGTTGTAGTTGTTCTCGTGCACGTCAAAAATCTCAACATATCAATAAATATATAAAATCAGAGAATGGAATACCTATAACAGAAGATACAAAACCTGATGTACACAAAGGTTTTTTCAAACGAATTCAAAATTTTAAAGGTTTGCAAATAATTTAAAACATACAATCTTAACAAATATATCAAAATCTTCAAATTTTTTTATTTAATGATTAGAATAAAATTATAAAAAGATATTTTTTTTTTTATTTAGCTCAAAAAAGACAAAGTGCTGCTCGAAAACAACAGTTAGCAGCAGCTGCTACTACTGTTACAACTCCATCGACATCACGAGTTTCAAACGGTCATTCTGTAATTGAAAGTGAAAGATTATTCAATAACGATAATGATGAACGAAATTCAAATATTATTCCATCATCACCATGTCAACATATAAATGAACCATTTATTAATAATTATTCTCATCATCCAATACGTAATTCACAATCAATTCCACTTCTTCTTAATCGACATGATAATATAACAACACGTATTAATTCTATTCCTTATGGTATTCGTGGTTTAAATAATGGTATTGATTCATATTCATTTACAGATATTGAAGTATCATCATCAATAAATGATGATGATAATGATAGACAAAAACGAATTAAATCAGTTAATACAAATAATCAATCAATATCTATTGATATTGATCGACAAAATGATGATGATTTACAAAGTGCAACACCAAAAAGTTTTACATCAAGAGATTTATCTTCTCGTGCAACAAATCTTTCATCATATTCAACACAAAGTTTATTACGAAGACTACTTGATAAAGCTCAAGTATTAAATGAATATTATAATGATATTTGTAATAGAACAACTATTCAACCATCCTTATCTCCTTCAAGAAAACGTTCATTATCACCGTCAACCAATTCTTTATTAGGACGAAACGGTGCAACACCACGTTCATTACTTCATCGTGATCAATCATGTGAATCAATAAAAAAATCACGGCGAAAACATCGAAGTATTTATGACAATATGTCAGCTGATAGTTCAAGATTTAATTTATATGCTGATGAAGATAATGTATTAAGAGAATTAATTCGTTTTAATAATGATATTGACTTAATTTTATCACGTCTTGAAATGGAAGGTGGAAATGTTCAACAAAGTAATAATAGTAATGATAATAATGAACGACGTTTATCATCAAGTACACAAATAGTACTTGATGATAATGATCAAGAAAGTACTGAATCAAAATTAGATGATTTAAAAAATCTTATTCAACAAACAATTATATATCCAAGTGATGATTCTGGCCTTGCTACAAGTCCACAAATCAATGATAGGTAAGTTTTCATCAATTTATCATTTCTCGTCTTATCTATCTAACAGAATTGATGTGCTACAAATATTATGTGTGTGTTGAGCGATTGAGAGATGATTGTTGTCAAACATCCGTTTTTTTCTTCTCTTTCTTCTTCTTCTTCTATATGACATTACTTATCCTTCCGAACGAGTCGATTGAGTTTATTCGGAAGATAAAACTAACTTTGTCTATATACACATAATCATTTGCATTCGATGCGCGCTCAATTTCTCGAGAGAATCTGTTTTTTTTTCTGGTTGATCATGCTAACTTATTATTACTGTTGTTGTCGTCGTCGTAGTAGTAGCCACTTGACTCTTTCCGTATTGATGAACCGGGAAAATGCGAGAGCAAAAAAAAAACGAAGCAGAAAGAGTGAGAGAGAGAGAGAGAGAGAGAGAGAAAAAAAAGTCAAAGTATGTGCCATCCGATCTTTCACATTCATTGTTCATATAAAATCATCAACGAACGGTTTTATCGAAATAAAGTAAAAAGTTGTTAAACAAATATTTGTCTCTTAACAAATAGAAAAAAAACTTATAATCGTCACACACACTGGCAGCAATCGCTCATCTTAAATATTCTCGGTCATCTATTTCCATCAACAGCACTACTGAAGAGTGTTGTATCATCAACAGGTAAATGTCTGCATGAATCACTAGCAATTGATTTAGAAGAACATACTTCAGATCAAGTTTATTACCCATTTGTAAATCTATTTGAAATGTCTGCAAAAAATTTCTAATTTTTGTCTTCTTTTTTTTTTGTACATTTATCGATTGAAACAATTCATTGATTGTTAATATACCAACGAATTTATTGATACAAACGTTAGTGTTATTAGCTTGAGTGACCTTCTTGTTACATGTGAATTAAGTGAGATCTATTAATAGATATGATAAATATAGAGTATATATATTGATAGTGTCGTCGTTTGTATTTCATCATACTTTAATGTATCTAACAAAATTTTTTTATCAAAAGATTTAATATATATGAGAATATTTGACACATGTTTCTATAATTGTTTTTCTTTCTTTCTCTGTCTCTCGTACTCTATAGACAATAAATGAGTTCAATCACACATGTTATTACATCTATTGAGTAAAATATATACGAAGGAAAAAACGAGAGAAAAAGAAACAGACATTCTCATTGAACTTGTTCGAATTCTTTTACATATATTGAATAATGTCAGTGATGATGGAAAGAAGAAAAAAAAAGGAATAAAAACGTCTACTTATTGAATACTCTTACTAAACAAGTTGTATAACTATTACACACGCATTCTCCCTAACACACCAATCAGTATAATCTTCTTGCATTGTTACTGCTGTGTAGGTCGACAACAACGAGTTCGAAGGTAATCTGCCGCAGACGACGACGTAAGTCGATACAGTCTGATAAAACTTTGCCTACGCGCGCATACGAATGTGTACATACATACACAGATATCTATAACGATTAGTGGATCTCTATGTTTCTCTTTCCCTGGTATTGATGACGTCTTTTGGTCGATCGGGTATGCGTATGCAATTGTTACATCATAATGATCTGTCGTCAATAGTATAGAATGATGGAACAAATTTTCTCTCTCGCTCTCATTGCTTTTGCCAACATTCATGAGCAGTAACACTCTAATATTGTAGTCATATAACTATATGATCATACAGAGGTAACAAAGATCATGTTTTTTTCTTTTCTATTCTATTCTAACCATTGATTTTCTTCTTTTTTTTTTTTTATTTGTTAAAAAAATAATTCTCTGTGGAAATTTGATGTTCATTTTATTTTATTTGTTCTCTTTTGTTAAGAAAACCTTCAAACTTTTTTTTTTTATTGTCAAAAGACGTGAAGACATACATATCGTTTTTCTCATACAAATATCTCATAGCAATCTAAAGGTTTCTTTTCTATTCTTCATATATATATGTATATGATCGAACAAGGTCAATACTGTAATTTAAATAGATTTTCTTTTTTTAAAATTAATTCAAATTGAAACTCTTTTTTAAATTTATTTATAAAAGAAAAACGAACTAAAACGGTAAAGTTTATTGATCAATGTTCGTTTCCTCTTTTCTCACATACAATGATGAAGAATATGCATAAAGCTATTCGTCATCGCTTCTGACCCTCTTATTCTCTCTCTCTTTCTCTTTATCCTCCCCCTATCCATACATAAATCAATTTCGAGCCTCGAGACTCATACAACGATATATACTCTGTATACGCCCTATCGTTCGCTCACGCACACCCTACATATACACATAATCGATGTTAATCCATTCAGTGAACCTGCTGGTTTCGTTGAATATCGATATGTCGCCATGAATGTATATTATAGAAGTATATATGTATATATATATGTATATATTTATATCTATATATTATTTTTAGAGAAGAAACTGATCAGACAAATCTTCAATCAAACGAAGTTATAACAATGCGTACCAATACAAATGAAATAAATATTCATTTATTATTAGCAAATGATATTAATCGTTTGAGAGAAACAGGTTGATGGAAAAAATATATATACATAAATTTCTTACTGTTCATTTAATTCATTCAATTTATTTTAGCCTTGTCAAAATTGTTAAAGTTAACTCAACAAAATTGTAATCATGATAGTATGCATAATCATGAAACTATGTAAGTGTGTGCGTGTGAATAGTAGTACATCAATTAAATTGATTATAATTGATTTAATTAGAACTTTGGCAAAATTAAATAAACTTCCGAAATCAATAACATGGAAAGGCAAACGTGTATTTGGTGTTCCTTTACGTGTATATCAACAAACAACAGGACAAATTCTTCCTGTAGCTATTACTAATGCATTACAATATGTTCGTATGAATGCTGGCAAATGTGAAGGATTATTTCGTAAACCAGGCGTTAAATCAAAAATAGATCGTCTACGTTTGCAAATTGAAACAACGAATGATTTTAATGGAGATTCATCATTAGAAACAATTAAATTTGATGAATATCAGCCATTTGTTGTTGCTGATGTTATTCGACAATATTTTCGTGAATTACCTGAATGTCTTATGCCACCAGCAATAACACGATTACTATGTGATTTGCTTAAATGTAAAGTTTTTTGTTTTTTTCGTTGTATGTAATAAATAAAATTATTTTCTAGGTGTATCACAAGAAGAACAATTGTTAGCAATACGTTATGCTTTTCTATTATTACCTGATGAAACTCGTGATGTACTTGAAACAATTCTTCGATTTTTACTCGACGTTTCAATACGATCTGGTAATAGTCAGGTAAATAGATAAAAGAAATCTTAACATAGAAAATAGCTTTCAATTCTTGACTTTTTTTTATTCTTTTTATCTTTAATAGACGACTTGCCGAAGTTTAGCACGTATATTTGTACCATCTGTTTTTCAATCTTATCATGATATGCATAATACATCATCAAAAGTTCTTTGGTGGAAATGGAAAAAAGATAAATTAGATGCAATACAACAAGAAAGTGAACGTTTAACACTTGAGCTTTGCTTAATGACTATGATACTTAACGTTGATTTACTTTGTCGAGTATGACATATATATGAAGCATATTTTTATCATTAACTCTAATTTATCGATTGTAAATATAGGTTCCAAGTTCAATTACTGATGAGCTTAAATTACCAACAGCTAGAAAAACTAAACGTCTTGATGATCTTGTTCGTAATGCATGTAATGGTGAATTTCATATGAAAAAATATATAGCAAAAGATAGTGAACAATTTTTACAAGTAAAATATTGTTTATTATAATTATGAAATTTTTATTTATTTATTTATTAGTGTTTATCAAATACAAAATTTAAAAATGTTCAAACAAATATTGATGGTGTTCATGTATCTATACATAAACCATCAACAATAAATTGTGATAATGATGAAATAAATTTACCTATATGGAAATGTTCAATTGATATACCAAATACAAATGTTAAACAAGTTAGTCAAAGAATTTTACATGAACGATATTTATGGGATAATCATTTTGCTGAAAGTCGAACAGTTGAAAAAATTGATGAGGATAAAGAAATAGTGCAATATGTACTTAATTTTCTTGATCTTGTACCTGTTCGTTCATTTTGTGAATTTCGGTAATATGAATTGACATGTTTTCTTTTATTTTTACTTAAAAATATATTCTCATATTAGTTTTTCAAAAAAAATTGCATCACGTTCGATACCTGATACGAATGCAATGTTAGTTAGTGCTGTATCAATTGATCATTTACAGAATCATTTTCTACCTGGTAGTATTGGTATAACGAAAGATATGCATTATTATATAACACCATCAACAACTCAACCCGGATATACGACAGTTATTCAAGTAGCTTGTGTTGATTATAGGTAAGAAATTTTCTTTTTCAAAAATTTATTTTAAGAAAATTAAAATTTTGTTTTTAGCGGACGATCATCTCAATGGTATGAAAGTGTTTTTGGTTGTTTATTAGCACATAATCTTCTATCATTACGAGATACATTTACAAACTCGAAAATTGTTAAAGTTTAAAAAACAAATAAGATAAAATCTCTTCATTGGCATTCCTTAGATAAAAACAGATAAAGAAGAAAAAATATTCTTCTTTAAAATTTCGTATTCGTTATTTTGTTGGATTCTCAGTTCAAAAACACAAAAGGATTAAATTATTGTATTTCCTCTTAAAAGTTTTAAGAGGAGAAATGAACATTTATTCTTTAATCCTTTGTTATTATTTTCTCAAAATACCGTCCTTAATTTTCATTGTCGACCATTCACGCGCATTTATCTTTCGTTTTTTTTTTCTTTTCTTGCTTTATACAAGACGACCTTTTTTTCTTTGTTTTTCATTTTAATCTTTCTTAATAATCTTTTGTTTTCTAACAAAATTTCTTATGTTGAAATTTTCCTTTTTCCTGTTTCTTTCGTTTTTTTTGCTAATACAAGTAAAAATAATTAAACAGTTAATGAGATGTTTTCTTTCGTTTCTTTCAATGAACAAATATTTTTATATTTTTAATGTGGATACAAAAACCAAACAAAACAGAAAAAAACAATATGACAAAATGAAAAGAAAACACAAGAGATTCATGTTATAATACTTTTAATTTAAAATTAAATCACACCTGTGTTACATATATATATGATTCAAAAGATTATATTGGATAAACCGGAACATAAGCTTCTATTTAAATTATACAAGTGCCTCTTTTGTTTCATTATAATGTATAATACACCAATGTTTTTTTCTTGTACTACTATGACCACCACCAATAGTTGTATGTTTATTTGGACTCATAACAATTGTTATTGGTTTATAACGTAAACTTCGTCGATGATGTGCCATAGATGTAAATGTTTTAACACTATGTCGTAAACTACTAAAACGGCGTAACGTTGCTGGTGTTTCAGGTGGTTTTAATTCATATATTTCTGTTTTTTTTATTGTACGACGTGATTGATTTAAATTATAGCAAGCTGAACGTTTGCCATAACATGTACCCATTTCGATTAAATTAATTGAAACTATTTAAAAAAAAATATATATGTATTCTAATAGATATCAATAAGATAAGAATTTTCATGCATACTGATAAAGCTTTGTCAATCATTATCATAATTGATTATGAATAAGTATAAGGAAAGAGTGATCTTGTCGCTTGTCAAGGTCACTTGTATATGATGTTTCCTTCAATATGACAAAAAAGAAAAGAAAAAAGAAAAAAAAAATGTATGCACACTACGGTCAACTGTAACACACTTTCGATCGATTGTGACCGAACGTATTCGTATTCGCCTTTATACTATTGAACGAAAGAAGAAAAAGTGAAAGAATAAGAGGATGACCGATCTAACGGCAGAAGGTAAAAAGAAAAAAAAAAATGAAAGAGCAAAAAGAAGAATTTCTTTCTCTTTAAAACGATTTAGATATTTGAAATAACTCTAAATTCAATTTGAACATTACAATCATTACGCAAAGTTCATTTGATAACAATGATGAATAACACCTTTCATTTGTCTACTTGACATATGAGTAAATATCAAATAACTATGAGATGTTCGTTTTTTCCCTCTTTTTTTTTAATATATGTTTGCCATATAAATGTTGAATGTCTTGTTCATTGATTAAAACTAAATTAACTAATTCTATAGAATTTTATTGACATTATGATTCAATCATTCTTTTTTATAACTAAAGCTAATTGTTTGAAAAATACTTATTGTATTGATCAATATGATTTGATTATATAAGCAGGAAAAGTTATGCTTTTTAACCTCAGGGTCATAGTTAACGTTAAAAATGCGGATATAGTCGACAAAATCATTACTATTCATTTGATATATTGGCCGTAAGCGAAATAAGAACTTACGTATTATACTGTATAAATATACATGTTCAATTTATTTGTTTCTTGTTCAATGAATTTCATACAAATATTAGTTTTATATGATTATAATAATTATTATTTTTTTTTTTTGAAAAGTATTTAATCAATCGTTTTATTTGATGATCAACTGAGAAAAAAAACGGAATCTATTTGATTTACATATATTCATAATGAAAACCTATGTAAAGAGAAATGTCTTTTACAATATGTAATTGAAAATCATACTCAAAATACTATTGTCTTTTGAAGATTATCACTCTAGTGATAACAACAAATACAAAATCAAAAATGATTTACAAAATACAAATGTCGTGCTGTTCTAACAGTTGAAAAACCAAAAAAGAAAATATTTGTTTTTTTTATTCATTCCCATCATACTTCTTAGTATTATTAATTTTGCTTTACTGTAAACAAAGGCTTTTTTTTTTATCAAAACCATTAAAAATAGTACGAAGATGAGCTTCTTAAAAGTCATCTCGATCTTTCTAAGATCATATCTATCTATTTTGATTTGATTTTTGAAAGAATATCTAATCAATAATATGATTTCTTTCTTTTTATTATTGTTGTATTGTGTTATATATAAAAATTCTTCTTGTTAATGCAATTAGAAATAATATTAAGAAGATTTAATCAACAAAAACAAAAGAAGAAAAAAAACTCATGATATAATAACGATTAAATATTATCAAATAAAGGTTTAGAAAATTTTTTTTATATACAGAAAAAGAATATGAATATATCTATGTGATCGATTGATTTATATTAGAAAATGTTTCATCAATCATATTTGTATTCAATAATGATAATGCTGGTTCGAATTTATTAAAGAATTAATTTATTTATTTGTTATTATATTAGAATCTTCCTATTTTATATTCCAGTCATTTTTAAAAAAAAGATTAGATCTTATTATTCGGAAGATCAATCATTAAATAAGTCTATATGGAAATAAGGCAATGTTTTAATTAGATAAAATATTGACAAATCACTCACAGTTCATCATTACTAGTATTTCATTGAATTCTACAGCTTCTCAGAAATTGTTGAATTATAGAAAAAAAGCTTAATAACGAAGATAATACCAATAATTCTAAGACAGAATTATATATCAATTGATTATCAGAAATTATCTTCAATTTAAAATAAATGTTGTCTGTTATATTGAGCAGATAGAATGTTACATTGATAATATTATTGAAATATTAAATTTGATTTTATTGATAAGTTCAATGTTATATTTTATTAGAATAATTTAAAAAAGTTTATTCTATTTCAAAATAGTTGTAACAGAACAATCGGTTAAAGTTTATTTATATTTTGAACAATTTTCTGTTCGAAAATATTACAATTTCTAATAAATGAAATTTATATAATGAAAAGCAGTTCTTTTGAATATGATATTTGTACTGTTATAAAACCAAACATGAATAGTCGAGAAGAAAAGAATTTATGATATTTACAATTTCTCTTATCAAAACCATGAATATTTTTGAAGTATTAACTACAACGAGATCAATTGTAATTTCGGCATCATAAAATCTTATCATTTTATAATCATTTGATGATAATACACTATTTTTATAAGTCTAGGAAACTTACTAAATCAACAAGGGAACATATTTGACTATTGGATGCCGTTCGAATTCGAATTATAACTACGAGTAGGTCATTGTAAGATGAAGAAACGTTTAAAAGAAATTTGAATCTATAACATACTGATGAAAAATTATATTCGTTATAATTAAAACTTTTTATTGAGAGCACAAAATATCTCCAAAAAATCCAAAATAAAGAGTTTTAACCTGAAATTTTGCTCAGAGACATCTGTCATAGCCTTGAAAGCTTTAACAAAAACGAACATGTATTTCTCGAAATATCCATTTTCGAAGATAGGTAAAACTTTCGATCAAAACTTTTTGTTTGGAATTTTTCGGAAGTGCTTTGTCGTTCGTAAAAGTTCTACTAAAATGATCATAACTTTTCATTAGTAGCAGGGATGTTTCAAGACTATCAAGATTGGAGGAGAAGTTTGGCCCTTGCACAGCGTAAAATATCTATCGAGCACGTGAATATGCCTTATTTCCTGTCAAAGACGATTTTTTTTTCATAAAAATATTTGCTTTTTGTACTGAAAAATAAGACTAAGTAAAAGAAGACCATTGCTGATGGAAAATCCACGAGAGGAACCTTTACCCTGAACTCCTCTGAAAAGTTTTTATTTTAAAAATTATCAAATAAGACATCATTCAATGCAACCTTTGGAGTCCAGCAGCATTTGAACTAACTGAGTGCATGTTCCAGATATAGAAGAACATTCTCTAAAAGTTTCGTTGATATCGAATTCGTACCCAAAACAAGGCGCGACCAATTTTACTGAGGACGCCTTTTTTGCAAAATGAGTAATTATTTAATTACTAATGAAAATACTGTAAAGAGTAATTTTACGAACAGGAACTTTTGACGTTTATTTTTTATTTTTAGTTAGTACGGTCATCAGCTTTAAACACATCGCTTGTGACCTTAGCCTAACTATTTATTTCAAAAACAAACAATAAGAGCTAAAAATCGAAACAAAATACAATATAAACTAATGCGTAAACATAAATATATATTGTATTTTCATCATTAGCTATTTATTGCCATTACTCAAGTCTTTTTTTCTGTATTGAGAACATTTATTTTTTCAGAATGAAAACTTTTCTTATAAATCGATAAAGAATAAGTTCTAGTTTCAGACTACAATCAGCAACAAACTTTTAGTGAATTTATTTTTTTTTCAAATTTTCTTACACATTAAAGGCTATGAACTTGATTCAAATGGTGATATAGATAGTATGAAAATTCGGCTACATCATATATATTATAGAAGACGACTTTGTCTGTCTGTATAGATGTTTCGTACTTAAAATAATTTTTTTCCACACAATAATATATTTAAGTGCTTTTCAGTATTTCGCATTTCCAAACTAAAAGATTTGCACTAAAATGAAAAACAAAATATATCGATTGATAGAGAATTTCACGCTTTCTGGTTTTCTAAAAGAATAATTTGTGTTTTCAAAGTTGATCTTTATCTCAACAACCTGATTTTAGTGAGAATAGATAAAAACGCGTGGAAACATGAAACTCTTCCAATCTAATCACATTTTGTTCATGTTTGATGATCGTTAGAAGGTAAAAAGAGAGACGCTTTATTTAAAAAAAAATGAATTCTCCACTAGTCCACCGTCAAATGATTCGAAAATGAGTATGGAGTAGTAAAAAGTATTTTTTTTAGTAGCATATCAAAGTTTGAAGTAGAATGTTGTTTTTCTTTACCATTTTCTGTTTATTTCACAAACTTAAAAAAACATCAAAAGAAATGGTCTCCTTCAGCCTTTAAGCAGAATATGAGTGTTTCTTGTCTTAACTCTCGTATCTCATTCCTGCTCACTCGCTTCGAAATAATTCGAAAATCATACATCGTTATACGACGGGACTTAAAGGATTCCACTTCTCCGGGTGTTCTCACTAAAATCAAGTTTTGGAGGTAAATATCGCTTTAGAAACAACATTTTTTTAGAAACAGACAGAGCTTGACGTTCTCTATCGATTGGACTGTTGTGTTTTCATTTTAGTACAAATCTTTTGGTTTGAGATTGCAAAATACTGAAAAACATTGAAATCTATTTTTACGCGGAAAAAATTAATTCAAGTATGAAAAATATATGTAGACAGACAAAGTCGGCTTCTCATACTTATCATTTGAACCAGATCAATAGTCCTTAATGTGAAAGAAAATTTTAAAATGACCAATATAAAAAAGAATGAAAAGAAAAACAAATTCGCTTAAACTTTTGTCGTTGATTGTAAACTATACAGCAGTGTTTTATGGGACCGATTTTTTTCTGTATTTACCCATCCCGTTTCGTACAGTGATCGGGAATGGTATTAAAAATGGACGCTTCCAAAAATTGTTATTTTTATGTAAATATTCTCCAAGCTTTGCTCTTGCAAACAAAAAATATCGAAATCAATCTGATATTACATTGTTATGAAATAGATTTCAACATTCTTTCAAAGACTCTTGAATTTCTTATTAATTAAAAGAAAAATAATAAATATCTATCAACAAAAATTACATAAGCTCATCGATTATTTATTAAATTGTATTTCAATCATCACAACTATCACTTTCTTTGTTTTCGCTTTTCATCAATGTCCTTGAGGTGCTAGTCCTTTTTCCTTTTTTTTTTTCAAGCAGTCAATTGATGAAGAAAAAATTCTCGCAACGTAACGTTAATCTATTTAGATTAATAAATAATAATTGATTTATTTTACTAAAATGTAGCTACATTGATAATTTTATTTTTAATTTAAGACCATCTCACGCTACATAAAGTGCAACGTTGACAGAGGGTAGTGTCTGATATGACAGATGTTCTCAAAGACAAGAATAAATTGGGATAAGAATCCTGAAAGCATTACGTGAACGAGAACATGGGAACGGAGACAAAAGAAATTTTACGGGAACAATAAGTTTTTTAACGAGAATGGGAAACAGGAACCGATTAAAGTCATTCCCGCAGGACACTATCACACGCCGTATTCCTTTCAAAATTGTCTTGATCTTACCAAGATGTAAGCGTAGCTATAATACAAACGGCGTTCGATAGTTTCACTCTAAGACTTTTTGTGTCTAGGAAATTTCTGCTAGTAAATAGCAAAGTGAAACCATGCAAAAACCAAGGGTTCTTTTTTTTTTGTTAATTCATTGTTTATTTAGTCTTTCGATTTGATTTTGATATAACTTTGTTTTAATGTATTTAAACGATTTCATCGTCTTAATTTTATGCATATACGGGTATTTATATTATTTCTATTAAAAATGTAATAACTATTGACATGAAAGAGCAAAAAAAGAACATCCTGTGTAAATATTCATATTCAATGTTGTTTTGTCATAATGATTTTCAAGATTAATACATTGGAAAGAAAAACAAAAATCTGTCTGATGCACTTCAAATATCATAATATATATACATCGGCTTTTTTTTGTCAAGTACATTATTAAATATCTTTTTCTTTTTTCTTTCTTTTTAATGTTCATTTCTCAACTAAAAAAACTCATCTCTTTGTGTATTAAATCAAAGAGAATATCAATAATAATAATAGTAGTAATAATAATTATAATAATAACATTCAAAATAAAAGAACAAAAAAAGAAAAAGAATTTTTTTTTAAGAGAAAGAAAAGAAAGGAGTATTAACTTCGTCGTGTTTGGAGAACAGTTGGAGGTCGACTGTTCGATGAAGATGAATCATTGGTTATTCCATTGACTTCGATAGGATGTATATCATTTTTTACACTTAAATCACCAACACTTTTACTTGTTGCTAAGCCATTTTCAATTTTTGTTGGTATGTCAATAATTGGTGAAGAATTTATTGAATCATTACCATTATATTTAGAAGTCATAAAACGTGAATAGGCATTTGTTGAATTATTATGTTTTGATGTAGCAAGATAAGGTGATGATGGACTTCGATCAACACTTGCTGAACGTGGTGTACGATTTGATAAAGAATTTTGTTGTTGATTTAAATTTGTTTGATTAGTTGTTGTAGAATTATACTCATCCGTAATTGTATCGACAACAGTTTTCATAGTACCTTCTAATAAATTTCTATATGTTTCAATTTCTTTTTCTAATGATGATTGTTTTGAAATAACATCGTCGTAATCTTTTGAAACTTTTTCTTGTTTTATTTTTAATTGTTCAATTTCATTTAGTTGTGCTTTTTCAAAACGTGCATTTTCTTCTAAACTCATTTCAAGATTTATTTGTAATTCACGTGTATGTAATTTTAATTCAGCATTTTTTTGTTTTAATAAATTACTATCTGATTTTATACGTTGAATATCTGTACGTACACGATCTTCTTCTTGTTTTACACGTTCTTGTTCACGTTCATTTAAAAATAAATGTGCAAGATCAGGATATTGTCGTGCTATATCTTCATATGCTTGAGTAAATTGTTCATATAAATTATTACGTTGTAAATCATTTTGTCTTTCATAATCTTGACGAATTTGTTTTATCGCACTTGATAATTCAGATTTAAACATATGTGCACGATCATTTGTTAATGCCGGTGCTAATAATGTTGTTTGTTTAAGATCTTTTAATTTTTGTTGTTGTTGTTCACGTAATTCATTTAAATCAAGACGTAATTGTTTTATTGCTTGCTCAGTTGATGTACGAGTTATTGTTTCATTATGAGTTTCATTTTTAGCTTGTAACAAAAGACGTTGAATATGAGTTATTAACTGTTTCCATTGTGTATGTTCATCGTCTTGATGTGCAAGACGACGTTTATACATAAGTATATCACCTTCAATAGACGATAATTGTCGTTCAACTTTTTCTGTTTCATATTTTGATGAATCACTTTCTTTAAATGTTTGATTGAGACGTTGTCGTAACGGATGAATACCGTTCTGAATAAATAAGAAATTATAATTTAATGATTGAAATTAATACGAATGCTTTGTTAAAAAAAGATCAGAATAGTATTCTTTTTGTTTTAGATATAATATAATTTTTATACTGTTTCTCTTTTTTTGTCGTGAAGCAAATAAAAATCTTCTCAGCAAAATTTTAACCTGAACTAACCTGAGCATCTTTAGCAGCATAAACAATTGTATTTTTATCTTTAAAAAGTGTTTCAATTGTTTCTTTTAACTGTGCAATTTCTGTTTCAAACATTGATTTTATTTGTTGACAATTGGTTTGTTGTTTTTCACCAAGAAGAGTTGTTTCCATTTGAATTTTTTTATTTTGTGCTTCTAAATATCGAACTTTTTCAACATAATCAGCAAATTTATCATTTAATGTTGATAATTCTAATTTTTCTTTTTCACGTGTTTGTTGAAATATAGGTGCTTTTGGAATTGAAAATGATGATGAACGATATGTTGATGATGACATTGGATATGAAGAATTTCCAATATTATTTGAATCTGTATATATTGTTGAATTAAGACGATAAGAATATGGTGTTTGATTGTTATTAATTTTTGTTGATGTTTGTGGAAAGTTAGTGTTTGTATATGAAGAAGACGATGAAGAGGATAATGACGAAGTTTGAAACAAAGGTAAAGTATTTTTAAGACTTGACATTGAATAGGGTGGTGGGAGGAGACCGAGAAAATTGTTGCTCGGTACTATACCTATGAAGAATAAATACAAAAGAGAAAAATAACCAATGACAAATATGTATGATGATGATTTTTCATGCACACCCAGGGTAGATCTGAATTATTTACCTGAGAGAAGCAAAAAAAAAGGCCGAAGGCAATACCTGAGAGAATGTAGATTTAAAAAATGAAATTACCAGATGTGTAATAATACCTTTAATTAAGACCTATAATAGAAATTTGTTATAACTATTAGTCAATAATTGTTTATACACATTAGAAAATGAAACCTTTTTTCGTTTTTTCATCATGAATATATACATAAGATATAAAAGCTGTCTTATTGATGGCCTTCGACACGAACATTATACGCACGATGAATAGAGAAAAATAGAAGTGTGCAGACTGTATTTTTTGGTTTCTCTTGTTCTATTAACCAAAACTAGTTATGTCTACCATATGACAGGTAGCAAACATACTTATATATAATAAAATGATTCTATTATACTTGTTCAGTTCTGTTTAGTATATACACATAAATGCACACAAAACCGTATATTTAATAAATCGTATAATAATATATCGATATTACCTGGAGATTCGTCGGTAGTAATAATACTTGTTTGATCATTCGTAGACTCTTCTGCCATTGATTATATAGATGTCTAATCGATTTTAAAAATAGCCTACAATCCTATCTATCTATATTGAAAGTGAATAAAGAAGAAAATTATATGAGAAATAGAGAGTTTGTATGATGTTGAATAAGACCTTTTCTATGAGTTAATTCTTCCATATGAAAAAGTAAAGTCAGTAAGAGAGAAGGAGAACATATGCCCACACACTAGCAAAACATATATACATACACACATACACTTGATAGATTCTTCTTATCTCTTGTTGCTCTTTATATCCTTTCTCTTCCAGTGACTGCATTAAAGACGTCATTGTCGACAACGAACAATGACTTCTTTTTTCACACACTAACGTGAGACGCTGTATAATTTCTTTTTCTCATTGAAGTTGACGTCGTCACACTCTTATACACATTCACATAATCGTATGGAGCATGGTAGAAAGAAGAGAGTAAGAGAGAAGGAGAGCAACCGCAATGGTAGCTTAGTAGAGTACAGTTTTACACTGTACTATAAGCATTACCGATTTCGTGCATCTTTTGAATATATTTATCTATGCACTTGAAAAGGCAGTGTAGGTGGATGCCTATTCACTTCAGCATGCGAATATAATAGAGCACAAATAAGAAAGGAAAGAGAAGGAGAGAATTTATATTGGTTACATGTCTATCATTGTTATTTGTCAAAAATCCATTGTTTTTTCTTCTTTGTTCGATGATGACTTGTGATTTTGTCTTCTTTATTCTTTTTTTTCCTATGATTCCATTGTACATAGCAGAGGGAGAGATGAACTTAATGCATAAATAGCAGCAGCAGCAGCAGTAGCAGTAATAAAAGGGGTGGAGAAAAGAGCGAGGTAGAGAACTGAATGTTTGCTCGGCTGAGATGCAGTTCTTCTTTCGGGGAGAACATGAGTGCGAGTTTCAAACTTCTTTCTCTCGCACACACTTTTTTTTCTGTTTTACGATTTCCGCTCGATAACCTGGTGTTGAGAGGATGCATAGAAAAAAGAGCGTAAATGAAAGAGAGATGTTGATTTAGGATTGAAACTACGAAAACAAAATAGTCAAGTCTTTATAAAAAGGCAGAACGAATGAAGATATGAATGTTTAAACACATAAAAAAGACAGAAAAGAGAAACGAAAGACCATGACAAATAATTATATATGCACTTCTCTATAGACCTTGCACATCGAAAGAGAAGAGAAACGAAAATTGTACGAGGTCAAGCGAATTTTTAAATACAAAAAAAAAAAGAAAACTTTTGCTTCAAAGAGATTCCTGTTAAAAAAAACAGCAGGTGATTTAAGTTACCTTCAGATTTTATTGATACATCATATTGCGGATCATTAGACAAGGATGTTTCAAAAAAGTTAATATGTATTGCTAATGGCTCATTTAACTCCGAAGGTTGAATGTAATTTAGTCATAGAGAATATGTACATATAAATATTTATTGTGATTATAGACAGCTGAAAGTGTATATGATGAAAGAACCTCTACTCCTATATGAAATATTCATATGTGTGCGAATATGAAGGTGTTTGGATATATTCTTAAGTGCATCAAGAACAGAGAAAAAAAATGAAATCGATTAATTTTAAAATATATATCCAAAATGATCGAATAGACAGACATGTGAACTGTCATATGAAATGTGTATTCTAAATGATCGATAGATATAGAATCACATAGATCTATGGTATGATCATTATTACATAATATATAATATATACTTTATATTTTTTAATATAAACTCATTGCATCTTCGTTTTTATATGATTATAATTGTTGGCAAACAAAAAATACAACGAACTTGCTCAGAAAGAAAAATATGAATTAATAATGAATATCAATTTATTCGAATAAATGAAAGATTTTTTTCATGCTATGTATATCATGCAAAAAAAAATGAAGTATGCATGCATCATTTTCTATATTAACCTGTATAAATTATATTGATAATGTAGCTGTCACAACTTGTCCATATATATATATTGTCTTGTTGAAAGTACTTGATGTGCGTTTATCGTATACGAATGAATCGAGTGAAAAAAGGTGGGACAGAGACATACGTTAATCCTCACGCAAAAGCTTATCAATAAAACATACCGCTTCGATGTGTATTTGTATTGATCACATCGAGACAGTACAGTAGTCTGTCTTAGTGACAATTAGACAGGAGAAGAAAAGACTCTAGCTCAAATAGAAATAAATATTGGTTAGATGCCCTTTTAACTATCCGATAAAGTCAATTGAAAATCCTCGAAACTATTCGACACAATGAATAAATCAATCCATTACAAAACTATAACTAAATCAAATATTTACCTTACATGGAAAAAATCGTACTATTGACTGAAATTCGAAAAATTCGAAAAATGAAGCTCATTAAAAGACATTTATTCAATGACAATATTACTTAAAATAGTCATAAGAAAAATTTACTGAAATATACTTGATGACTTGTAAAAATGACCTTTGTCGATTATCATGCATAGACTCAATGTCATATCATGGAAATGAAGCATCTGTTCCTAATAATCAAAAACAAAAGAAATGACATCCAAAGATTTTCAATCGATATTTAGAATACCGAAGATATTGCTATCATTTTTAACCAGTTTAATATGTTCATCAGTCATGAAAATGTTTTAATATCTAATAATAATTAAAAGAAAAAACAAAGAAAATTTCGCTGAAAATTTTCGATTGTTGTTTTTTTGTTGTTCTTTCATAATGACCAAAGATTTATTCAGTAAAGAAGAGCTATAATGTACGTAATGTTTTTGTGATTAAAAAATAATGACTAGTTGTTTTTATCAAATTGCGACTATTGTAAGTTTATTGAATTCTTACAATTCATAGAAAAGGCAATCAGATCAATTGATCTTAGTGTTTGTTTTTAATTCAGTCGACTTTTTATTCAATATAATAGAGAAATGTAAACTATTCATGTCGATAAGGACAAACAGCAGAATAATTCTAAAGAATATGCATTAGCTTAGTTAATTATATTATTGCTTTTAACGTTTATACAAAATAAAAAAGACTATTCAATAGTATAGATATATTGTAAATATTATTTTTCTTGTTCATGCTTTCATTTAATTTGTTTTTTTTTTACTAGTAATATGTTAAAACCGTACAAGTATGTTTTATCCATTATGAATTTCATCTCTTTCACTTTACAACAACAATAGGAGATTCTAGTAAGCATTTGTAATGATTTATATATATTTAATTTACTTTTATGTTTCTTATCAAAAATCAAGATAAAACACATTGTTATTTTTCATAAGTATGATTAAGTATATTTTGATGAAACTGACAGGCGTAGTACCGATTTTTTTTGTATCGATTACTTTTGTATCATGAGCTTATCGTCGTGCTTTAATGACTATGTAGCACGCGATAAATTCTATCACTAATGCACTTGCTATCAAGATACTCTTCAATTGTTTTACCTTGTTCATCAAATATTAGTATACTTAGTTTAGTAGAAAGGAAGCAATAATAACTCTACCTTTCAGCTACGTTGCTGTATGGAGTACCGCCTAGCGATAGATTCATTAGTACAATATCCTTCCTACACAAAATACAACCTGTAGTTGTAAACAGAAAGTCAGCCTGATACAGAATTCTTGAGCTCTCCATACACACTAGCTAACTACAAGAGCAAGCATATGTCCCAACGTAGTCAGCATGTTATGGGATGGGTAATCCGAGACAAATTGCCACTAGTGAATTGTAATTACAGGGTTATTCCATAGCTGATAGTACTAAATTTTGTACACAGTATCTTGTGAATACGTGTTGAATAACGTAGCTCCTCAACCATGACAACGTAATTTAGTAGTTGTTCCATGTACTGAACTGTATTTACAAGTTCTGAATCGTCCACAATAGTAATAGATGCAGGAATATGGTCTGTAGCTATGAAAATAAACATTTATCAATGATCAAAAGGATGAAATAACCAAACACCGTGCTATTACTATGCTATCAAACATGCGACTTCATCTCAGTTTTTCTTATCATATTAAAGTCAATGTTACTGATAATGACTTTTGTTCGCTATCCATGTCATTAATCGAAATCATAGAAGCATGTTGTTGTATGTTGTCGATCAGTAGTCAATTTATCTGCGTCGATATATCTTAATGAAACAAATTGTGTTCTGCGCTTTGCACCAACAACTATTGGCTTTTATACTGTGACATCAACTGTTCTCGATTTTTCAAACAACAGAACTACTGCATTTTCTTCTCGATTCAATTCATTTTCAATGCTGAGACTGCAAATGCTACATGTACTCTACCATCAATGTATATTAATGATGCACCTGCTGATCAACCTTTTTTTTCTTTGAATCTGATTCATAGCTCCGATACTTATTCGTATTATACTTCAATGTTTGAATACAATATTAGATATTGGAATTGGAATTTATTCTATTAAACTCACACAATCATCAACATATATATTGATACATCCGGCTTAACTATAAATATCTTTCAAGACAATTATGCAGCCAATGCATATCAGGCTAGTCAAAATTTGTTGTGTTTTGCTATTGTTGATTTCATTGACAATCAAAGTGATTCAAATGTCCTTGCTTTACTATACAAATAACATCAGAAATTCAAAGTACTGTTTATATATCAAAATAAGATTCATTTTGCAATAGGAATGACATTTTTCCGGTCAAGTACTGATAAATATATATTCGTTTTAAGATTATATCAACTCAGTAAAATGTTGTCATATATAATGTTGTAAAATATACAACTAATATAAACTATCTATCAGATCATTTAATTATTGCGATTAATGTCATTATTATACGAGATGAATCATTTTTTGAAAATTTTTATAGGTTCTGATGTATTTTTACGTCTTGGAACTTGTTTAAACGTTGAATTGGAATAGAAGATGCATCTTTTCTTTTGACCATTAGAAATCGTATTTGAATCAAGTAAGACAACAGTGTTAAATCGAACAATAAATCATTCATTGATTTTTATTAAACTAATCATTATGAATTTTTATATCGGTACCAAGGATTTGTACAATTTCCACAATATTTTCATTAATAACAACGACGAAAACAATTATTCTATCAACAACAAAAAACGATATTAATATTTTATCACTGTATTGTATTGATGGTATGGTTGGAATTGTCATCGGTTTATTATCAATAATGATGATTATTCGTTTCATCATTTCTTAAGTCATAAGACATAATTCACAATAGTTTATTGACTAAATTTAATTCTATTTTAACGAAGAAAAAAAAAGTCATTTACTGATACTGTTCAACAATATTTAAATACTACTCATTCAAATACTCAAGTAGCTCATAAATCAAAAAGTTATATAATTTACACATACTTATCTTCAACAAAAGTAACTCATTGAAATTTCGTAGATATCAAATGTTACATGAACAAAATGAAATACCTTAAACCATATTTGTTTTAATTACTTTAAAATATTCCCAAAATCTTCCTAAAATAGACATCGAACATAGATAAATTTCAAATTAAGGTAAATGAAGTTATCATTATTGACAATAGAATTTTAAGTAGACAGCAAATAAATATCACGAATAACATTGTACTGTACTAGTCAATGACAAGTCATTCAAAGGTCTAAGAAATATCAAACTTATGACGCTTTACTTCTATGCTTACATACCTTTCAAAGCTGTACGGATAACTTAGTTTTGTTAATCCCATTAGTCTCTTAAGTCATTTTAGCGTGGGGGTGCGAGTGTCAGTCTGAGTGTGCGTATTTTCATAACTCTCACTTACATATAATTACATCTCACTTTTTAAATAGACTAAAGATAATAAAAGAGCTAAAGGAACTAAAGCGAGTAAAAGGACTAAAGGGCGAAAAAAAATGAAAACCGTAGTAGTCTGAACAGCATAAAAGTGAAACAGGACAAATTTTATTTCTTCTGGAACTTTTAAGTCATTTGATTCAAACTTTTGTTTCTCTTCAAAGTCATCTTCGTGAGAAAGAATTTATTTTAGGTTCAAATTTAATAAAGACAACAATAGATGCCATAAGAACTTTCAAATTAACAATTCATCATCGTTAACAACATCTGCTCTTCTTTGAACAGATACTATTAACGATAATGAATTGTTCATTTAAAAGTTTTTATTGCACTTACTATTGTCGTCATTGACTTTAAAATTATAATAGATTCTTTCAGATGAAGATGACCTCTGAGAGAAACAAAAGCTTGTAGTTAGTTCAGTACTAAATTATTCACTTTCTACTTAAACATTAAGATTAGTATTCATGCACAAGGTAATAATCTACTCATGCTCTCTCTCTTTTATCATTCAATCATCATTACTTATGATTTCATTCTGGTACACACGGTACTATCTGTATAGACATGCAACACATGTGACGTCGGATGTATTAAATTGTCTGATGTATCTGTTAACAACATGAATAATGTCAACAAATATAACAGATCCATTGATTGTTATTTAGGTTGTATGATGCTTGTTTATTTGATGAAAACAAAGTGCTTCGATTCCATTTGGCATTGAATAGGGATGAATAAATATTAAAAAATTCTTCAATAAATCATTTTTTATTCTATCGAATAATAAAAATTCTCTATGAATTCATATGAAATTTTTATTTCAACTATTAAATAACTGGCAAGTTTTATTCTTTTCATATGAAAAATTTACAGCAAGTTTCATTAGAATACAATGCCAGCTTCTGTTTATTTTTATATTGGATGTAAAATATGCATGACAAAATTGTCGCCTTTAATGAATAATAAATAAAGCATTAAACTTCGACAAAATAACAAGCTGACTATTCAATTATGTTGACAGGAGTGGAATGATTATATGTCATGATCCGCATTGAAATTTTTAGAAAAATTTCAAAGTTATATCTAGATAAATAAGATACGTTAAGTTTAATTTTCTTTTATTTAAAAGATTGTATTATTGTTTGCAAAAAACGATAGAACTATAAAGTATCTTAGAGTGTCATATTTGTCTCAATTATGCAAATTTCTGAGACATATAAAGTTTTTGTTTTTCTATGCATAATGATCCAGTCGTCTCAAACCAGAACATTTATATTCAGAAAGCATATATTACTCAAAATCCGTTTCATTCTTTGCTTCTATTCAATGATTATACTATGCAAATAATTTGATTGAACACAATCTTTATATTTGAACAACGATTTTAGTTGTATAACAAAAGGCATTCTTCTTTTGTTTCACTTAAAATCTTTGTCACTACCAATCAGAATAAAAAACAATTGGTAGACTTTAAACGTTCTTTTTCTTCTTTTTCTTAAACTATACACGCACATTGTTTTATTGAAAACAATAGACGCCAATATGATCATTGGTGTTCTCTTGTTATAGTCTACACGGTTATATACACAAGTTGACCGTTTACGTCAGTTATGTTTCGCTCTTTTTTTCCTTTTTTCGTCCGTCCAAATAATACATATTTGACAAATTTCTTCTTCGTTCACTTCCATCTGCTATTCTACTACATGTAACATCTTATTTCTTGAGCATAAAACAACAATAACAACAACAAGAAACATGTCATCATCACCACCATCATTAATAAATAACAAAAAACCAATACGTGAATTAAGTTCAATTACAAACCATTTATTATTAACAAAAACTTTAAATGCACTTGTAAATAATAATAATTCACAAGTATCAACACCAGCTCCACCTCCGTCAACATCATCAATAAAAGAAAACATTCCAAATGATACAAATTTAATTCAACAACAAAAAGCACTTAATCTTCGTTTAGCTGCTGCATTAAAACCTGTTGATAGAGATAATGTTGCTGCTTTACTTCAATTTTATCAAACCTTAACTAATAATAATAATAATAATACTTCACATAGTAACGTTCAAAATACTTCATCATTTAGTGATAATTCATCTTTATCAAATAATTCTAATTTGAATAATTTATCTATTTTAAAAACACAAAATGCAACAAAAAGGTAGAAATTTAATAAGCAAACAATCAAATAGAAAAAAAAACTTCAACTTATATTTTAGATCCACATCGATGACATTTTTATGTCGATTTAATCAACGAAATCGTTTAATTGAAGTACCAACAACAAGTGAATATTATAATCAACAAAATGGTATATCACATGAACATCTCAAACAATTAATAAGTAAAGGAAAAGAAAAGTTTTTTGTTTGTTTGTTTTACATAATTCTTTTTTTTTTTATTGTTGTCAGTTCAAGAATTTCAAATACCAAAGTCAACGTTGATTATTATTCAAATTTGGAATGAACAATATCAAGAGTATATTGATATTGAATCATATAAAAAACTTCCTTTTGAAGGGCGTCTTCAAGTTCTTATGTAAGTCTCTCATTACATGCCTACGTAAATGAACATACATTATCTTTCTATGTTGTTACACTCTTGAGTATCATTTACTTTTCTTTTATATTAAAAGCTTTAGATTTAATATGATTAAGTAGTGGAAAGTAGAAGCATGACAGTGGATGCCTTCAAGTATTCTGAATGAGAATTTCAGATAATAATTCTGAATAGAGAATGATTTCTAGAAAACGAAACGATATTATATTGAATATTTATGAGATCGAAGTTTTCCTCATTTATAATGTTTGCATGTTTTTGCTACGTCATAGAATCAACAGAGGTCAAATCAATCGACAGAAAATATTGATGTTTTACGTTGACTTCACATAACAAAAAATCATTACTTTAGTTTATAATGTCGAAAAGAAGGCAATTTTTTTAATGCTTGTTTTAGTGAAAAAGATATGACATCGACTGGAAATTCACCGTCGGTTATATCAAAAAGTCCTACAACGCCAGTATCATCAAATACAGTCACAATAATGACTCGTTCAATAACTCCTATACAATTACAAACAACACCTAGTGATAATCATCATGATGACGAGTTACCATCAAAATCTTCTTATGATGAACCCGTTAACACGTAAGTGTTTAAAAATGTGAATTATTTTTGTATGAGGTATAACATTTTTGATGAGTAGTATGTCCCCAATGCATCAAATTGATAATTTAACAGCAGGTCAACATAATCTTATGTATGATTTATTACCAAAGCCAACTGATGGTATACCAATTCCACGTTTTCCACCACATATAGCTGCTTTTTTAAATGGTAATGGTGATGCTAATCAGTTAAATGCTCTTGTTCAAGCTCTTTATCAAGAAATTGTTAAATATGAACTGTAATATATATTTAATCATAGTGTCAAATATTTATATTATATGTTATTATTTTTCTTTTCTAGTTATCCAAATGCTGATGAATTACGTTCAATTGTTAGTCGTCTTGTTGATCGACATCCAAATAGTCTTCCTGTTATTGGTAGTATTGAATTATTAGTAAGAAAATTATATTATAAATTTTGTAATGAACGTAAAAAATATCCTGTGGAATTAAAACGTCGCCAACCAAATAAACGTAAAAGACTTACACGTGATGATGATACAGTTTTAAATAATATACAACAAGGAAGAAATAGTAATACAATTCATGATCTTGATCGTCTTATGCATTTATGGACAACAACAAATGATTATAAAGATATCAAAATTGAAAAGACTCATCAAGAACAAGAACAGGAACAACAACATTCACCATCGGGTTCATCATCAAGTTCATCGTCGCCGGTTTCAAACCATATGACAACGGATAATCGTGATCAATGGGATGCATCTCAAAAATTCCATCCATTAAATCTGTCTATTGGAAACAATAATAATAATAATCATCTTATGTGTACTGAATAATTTCACTTTAAATTGATTTGACCTAGACAATGATTTGTTTTTTTTTTTCTTATTTCTGTCTTATATGATTGTGTTTGTTCATCTAGTTTATGTGCGTGTCTGTTTGTCTTCTCCCGTGATCTTACTTTAACTCTATCTTGTTAATCGCCTTCATTATAAGAATAGATTTATTAAAATGTCGTGTTTGTCGGTATTAACGTAAAGATGTCTTTTTCAACAAGAAGCACATATCAATTAAAGAAATCATAAAGAAAATAGATTGAGCATGAAAAGAGAAAAAGTAATTTTGTTTTTCAAGTGTCTGACTTGATTAGAACAAGTGTGAGTTTACAAGCGAACAATTGTTGTTTTACGCAGTTACGTGTTTCTTAGATCGTTATTTAAGTATAATTATAGTATCTGTTAGCGTTGAGATTTAAAGTTTTGAATAGATTTTCTAGTATTAAGTGACGGATTATAAATGAGGGGAGAAAAACAACGATGGCTTAGAACAGTTTAAATTACACCGTAGTTTTCTATCATTACTTTAGAAAAACAAGAGATTTCAGAAAGTTGCTTTCATGGCATGGATGAACGAGTATTAAAGTTTGGTCAAAATAATTGTTTAATAATTACTAGTTGGTCAAAAGATAGTATCTCCACTTATAGAGCAGTTGTCAAAGATTTTTACCGGTTTACTTCACAAATATAAGAGCATAAACAGTGTCAATAGGTAAATTATTATGTAGAGAAATGAAATATTAATTGAGTGGTAGATATCTAGAATATTTTTTTCCGTTTTCCATAATTATATTGCAAATAAATTTATGAAATTGATGAAAGTTTGATTTTAAGAACGCCATGTGAAATAATAAATTAATTATTAATAAATTACATTTTGAAGTAGGTTTCTCCAATTATAGTTTCAGTCGCATAGTCTTTATAATTGAAGAGCATTTCTGAGAGGCATGATGTGTACTATTAAAGTGGATTTGCCTTAGTAGTCTGTTTTTGCTATTTGAGTTTGTAAGAGACTCATTTCTTTCTATGCTACGTCGGTATGTTTCCTGTCATAATTCATATTAAGAAAGAAACCTTATGCCATTTCATTTTTTTTTCTATATCACGATTGAATAACCAATTTCGATGGGTAACATCAAAATTGCACTTATTTCAAGCGTTCATTTTAACGACGATGCTATTTTCTATTCATTAGTAAGAAAGATTGTAATTGTGTAGCCTCTTCTTTTTTTGGGTTTATAACAAAAAAATATATAGCGTAAAAGAAAAGAACGATCTTTTCCTTTCTTTTTTTTCCTCTATCATTATGCTTTCGTGCATGCATTTGATGCTATGATGGATGTTACAATAACGGAAGTATGACAAAAAAAAATAAAGATGTGTGCATATGCCTGCTGAAAATGTATCGGTTCGTATTATATTCTTATTTTTAATCGTCTTGAAAATGATTTCTACTATAACACAAACAAACCCACAATTAAGGCGAACAAAAAGAAAAAAAGCTATTTCCGCATCCGCTACGTTGCCATTGAATAAGTAAATGGTAGATCTGCGCACAGACGATGTTGTAACAATAAATCTATACTTAATGATTCGTCTAGTCTTATCTTAATAACAAAAAGAAAACTGTTCATTGAGAAAAACGAATAGATTTTAAAAGGCAATCAAGGGTATGTGTCTTGTAAGTATAGCATGATTGCTTGAGAATCGGCTGTCATTGCCTATCAAGCATGATGAATTCATGGTAATTATAAACACAAATTTAAGAAAAACAAATGGATTGGGAATTTGTCAGCATTATTGTTTTTCTGATTATGATTTCCAGTGTGATCTATTCAGAAACGTACTTATTACACATGAAAAAGTATTACTATTTAAAAGTAGTTTTCATGTTCAATAGTTAACTCAAATGAGTTTTAAGTACAAAAATTTTTAGAAGAAAATATTTAATACTAAAGATTAAGTTATGAAAAGATGTGTTCTTCTTTTTCCACTGCATGTTTCTACTTTGTGAGAACAATGAAATATTTCTTTATGTTTTATTCGAAACGAACATAATATCACACCTGCGAGATTTCATTCTCACTACGCTTGTCTGTCGTTTTTTGTTTCCAGTTTTCTTTAACATAATATTTAAACCTAATCTGACGTCAAATACAAACCTCATAATAAAGATATTTGAGATGACGATGATGTTGAGAATTAAGGTTAGTCAGGCAAGCTTGAATAAAACATGCAATAAAGATAACGAATATTTCGTGTTATTTCATAAAGACACATAGACAAATGTATTATTATAGTGTTAATTTTAGTGAACATTTGTCTATCGTTGAGAATCATCTTTAATGTTTTGCTTTTTTTGTTTAAAAAAAAAAAACGACGAAGATAAATTTTGTTCATTAATATTCTTAGAAAAACTTTTTTTTTCTTCTCTAATTTCTGCTCTTGTTTTTACTTTTCATCTAATAATCCGATTGATAATTTGATTAATCATTCTAGATTTAGGTTTTGGCTCTATTCAACTTTATATAGAACTACTCTATTGATGGATTGAAATAATAAATAGAAAAAAAAATTTAAGTACCATGTTTAGAATTGCTTCACATATTTTTTTTTGAAAAACATTAATACATTTGAATGAGAAAAGGGAAAACATGATTTCCATTGAAACAATCCTTATATGATAATTTCTATTAAAGAAAAATAATAGTAAATAATTTCAATAAGAAAGATATCCTGGAAAATCTTGCTAAGATTATGAATTTTTCAGGATTTTAACACTTTCTATATTTCTATTTTTGACACTATCATTCTCATTAGTTCTGTTTATTAATATGTCGTTCTCTTCTTATTACCGTTGCGCATTTCTCTCTCTCTCTGTCCCTCTCTCTATATATATATCCATAATATTGTAATATTCTCTCTTTTAAACACGAACAAATGTCTGAGATTGTTAATGATAAAGAAGACAAAAAAAAGTTTTTTTTTAATATTATTAAACTAAATTAGTCTTACATTTTTCTTCTAGATAGTGGAAAATTAATAAACAATTATGATTATAACAAATCATACCAGTGTTTTTGATAACGATTCATTAATAGAATCATTAGAAATCGCCAATCCGTGTCCACGGCAACGAAATATCACTCGACCATTGTTATTTGTTCATAATTATGCATTATTTTTCTTTGGGTCAATATTCAACTTTCTTGCATTTGTTATTCTAATGCAACGTTCATTAAGATGCCATTCAACATTTGCTTATTTAGCATTTTTATCCTTATCAAATGGTTTATTATCATTAGTACATTTTTCTAAATGGATGCTTCAATATTATTTTAACGTATTATTTGAAAATTTTTTAATAACATGTCGTTTTAATCGTTTTTTATCGGATTTTTTAACACATTTCAGTTTATTTACATTAATATGTGTTAATATTGATCGAGCTCGAACAGTAACAAAAAGTCATCCAAGTAGAAGATATTCAAAATCAAAATTTCATATAATATTAATGAAAGAATTTATTGTTGCAAGTATTTTATGTGCTTTTCATTTTCATTGGATTATTAAATACGGTTCTGAAGGTAATGATAAACGTTGTTTTCTCTTTTTATCGAAGATTAAAACAAACCATTTTACTGTCGTTTTGTAAATCCATTTTCCTGTTGACACTTGTCAGATTAAATGAAATGCGTGTTTGCAAATAATTAAAATAGTTCCTAGTTGTTTAATTGAAAGAAAGAAAACGTATATGATATGATTTAATGAGCAATTCAAATTCCATAAACTCACACATCATAAGAGAAATTTTTATTTATTATAAATCATAGTTAGAAAGTGTTTTTTTTTCTTGTATTTAGTTGTGAACGGTGATAAAAAAAAAACATTATGTACTTTTGATCATAATCAATCAACAACAATTTATTATTATTTTCTTACAACAATATATCCACCATTTGAATTAGTAGTATTTTTTTGTCTTCCACTACTAATTAACATATTTTGTACGATACTTATTATAAGAAGTTTAAGTATAAGAATGCGTACAGCTGAAAAGTTTCGACCATCAAAAACAAGTCTACAAGATAAAATAATAAAAACAAAATCTCGAGGAATATTATCTTATTTTATCCCAACTAAAGCAAGTAAAACAAATATACATTCTTGTTTTTGTTTTCAAATTCAATGTCGACGACATACACGTTTTCGTTTAAAAATTGGTCGAACAATACGAAGTTTAAGTCAATATTATGAAGAAAATAAAACAATTGATGGACAACAATCAATAACAAGTGTATCACAGGATAATCAAGTACAATTAACATTAAAAAATACATCAAATATATTAAATAGAAATCATCGAACAAGACGTACACGTGATATACATTTATCAGCAATGCTTATTAGTTTAAATATACTTTATTTATTATTAAATTTACCATTTAATTTACATCAAACATTTGTTAAACATTTATATAATACGAATTCAGATCCGTGTAATATTATGTTTATTAGTTTATTATTTGATGCTTTACAACAAACATTTTTTACAACAAATTTCTTTTTATATGTTTTAACAAATCGACGTTTTAGAGAAGAATTATATAATACAATTATTAAAATATTAACACGTTGTAAACAAAATTCTCCAAGAGAAAAACAAAATAAGCTTAGACATAGAAAACAAATGCGTTCATCAAGTTTTAATCTATCAGCAACCATGAGAACAATTTCAAATAATGAAAATCAAATAATTTGGATACCAACTAGTCAAAATGGTGATAGTGCTGTATCTGATTTAGAATTACCTTCAACATCACAAACACAACAACAAACAATTGCATTGATTAATGAAAATAATAAATATAATCAGAAATTAGTTATGTTCAAAGATTTACCAAGTGATTAAATATTTGTATACGTATTTATGTTACAAAACAATGAAATTTATTTTAAATTCTATTAATCTATGAAGTAATAAAAACTTGTGTTTTTTTTTTCGTCTAGAAAACTCAATGAATTATTAATTGTAACAATACTAAAGTATTTCTTTTCGTGATTTGTATTTATTGAAAGTTCTGTACTAAGTGAATTTTTTTTATTGTCCTAATTGACTTAGAGTGAAACAATTATAATTTGAAGATCCATATATTATTTTTGAACTCTAATTTTGTTCGTTCAATTAGAGTTTAAGTTTCTATGAAAAAATGAACGTATGTGAGTTTATGACATTGTAAGAAATCTTATTTGTTAATAAACGTCTTTTAAATAATTGTGTATTCAAGGATATACTAAATGCCCTTGATTTGATTGGAGTTTTTCTGTGATCAAATATGCACAACGACGACAAAGGTCTTGACCTTGTTCACATCGCTGTAAAGCACAATTTCTTCATTAAGTCGAATGATGAAATAAATAATGTAGTATTTTATGAGAAAAAAAAAGTCACGAGAATGACTTGTACAATGTATAAACGAGAGAAGAAGAAAAAAACCGAATCGTTGTAGTAACATAGTAGCATGAAAAAAAAATACTATAAGAGCGATTACGTGTGAGCTAAACGAACAAATAGTTATATTTCATTTATTCTTATTTATTTAAATTCAATATTAAATTTCTAATGGCCGATAAATCACATCTCATATGGCAAATTTTTGAAGCTATTCAAAGTAATGATAATGGTCAAATTCTATGGAATTTACTTGATCAAATAAGGACAACATCAGATGATGGAATAGTTTATATGACATACGGAAATGAAACACCAGAATCATTAGCACAAAAACTTCATCGACAACATCTTTTCAAATTAATTCAACTTCATCAGAAATTAACTTACTTTCGAGCACAATTTTAATAATTACATTATAATTGAAATAAAATTGCACAAAAAAAGATCATATATCTGATATGTTTAATGCACAAAAAAAAAAAAAAGAAATAGAAATATTTTGTTTCTATTTACATATTTTAGAAAAGAACATCATGATATGTCCCATTTATCATATAAATCTCTTTTTTGTTTATAATATTTTTAATTGTTTATGAGAAACAGTTCGGTAAGTTTATCTTCTTCCGCAATAAACAAGATATAAAAGTAGATTAAATGATTATGAAGAGCATTATTATGTGTTTTATAGTACTAAATCTCCCACTCATTCTACGCATTTCTGTCATTTTATGCTTTATATACGTACTTTCGAATATCTGATTGAGCATCCGAAGCATATAATCATGTTAGAATAACTCAGCTTGCTCAGTGTTATTTGATACTCATGAAATCTTCATCCTTGACATTCTGATTGCGTAGAAAGTGTAATAATTACAATGTTAATATATGCAAAAACATTATTTATAAATTATTTCCTTGTACATTTACAATTTTTTTTGTCGTCTTTTGACTAAATGAGTAAGTGAAATTAAAAGAATTTTGAGATTTTTTTTTCGTATCAATAAACTTTTCACACACTGAGAATATAACAAAAATAATGACACTGACACTATAATATTGTATAGATAGTTCGACCCAAATTTCCTTTTATGTGATATACTAATAGTCTAAACAGTGTTTTTTATTTCTCCTATATATTTTATCATTCTTTTGTTACGGGTCCAACTCGCTTGCACATCTAATTCTTCCGTTGAAATATAAGAACCATCTTTGACAGCAAAGTAAACTTGTTCGATATTTTTAAAATGTTCTCTCCAGTACTAGAGCAAGTATTCGAGATAAAATTCAAGTATTTCTATTATAATTCTAATGCCATTACAAATAAATATGTATCCAATAGACTCCTTTTATTCGTCTTATCGTGACATATGACAAACCAATGCACATTGTTCTGGGGAACCGGAACGATGAGCACGAGGAACGTTCAGCACGGAACGTTAAGCACGAAAACGATAAGCACGAGAACCTTTAGCGCCAACTATTTAAGCACGCAAAAAGAGTTAGAAGTATGAACTTTATTGCAAGATAAGTGAATAACTATTTCATTTAACAACGTAAGCATAAAAAAAAAATTACAATGAAATATTATGCACTATTGCATCAATGTGGATAGGAATGTGTGCATGAGGTGTAGAAATTAGATTTAATAAACGTTTTTCGAAGCGTTCATATTTTTTTTCTTTATTTTTGGTGGTTGGCCAGCATTCATTTGTAAAATATCAGCATGAATAAGGTTTTCTTCGTCGATTAATTTTTGCAAGAATACTCTCAATGTTGAATGAGATAATTGGAAAATTGATGATATTCGTCGATGATAAGCTTCAACTGAATTATTTGTTCTCATTGACGATTGATTAGTCCTATTATACATATTCCAAAAATCGACAGCAAATGTGAGCTTTCTTTTTGTATGATTTGGACGTAATCGTCCTAACAAATATGTGTCGTAAGGCTAGCTTTAGAGGAAAAAGACTTACCAATGTATGTCTCTTGGAAATAGTCGATCATTTCTTGATAATGTTCATCAAGATCCATTGATAAACTTTCAAATACTTTGATTACGTCACCCAGTTCCAAAAATGCTAATGCATCCAATTTATGAATATTGTATGAAAAGACTACGTCGGTTTGGTATCGATCTTGCCATCCCAATGCCTGCAAAGAAAATAGTTCGAAAACTAATCATTATCTCTTTGAGGCGGGTGGTACAATACTTGTATTTTACGATGTAAATTTTGTTTGAGATGACAATAACAGCCTTATAATAAAATATTTCATCGTAGACATCAATATACGTTTTCTCAAATTCAATCATTATTGAATTAGCTATCCATCAAGACGCAAATTTAAGTTTTCATTGAATAAACGACGATAAATAGTAGCATTCTCACGGCATAATAATGCATAAATGACGGGAACTACATGATCTCGATATATCACGTGAATTATGTATAATTGATAAAATTCTTCTGGCACAACTTTGAAGGTGCCATCAAACATTAAGTGATGATTAAATTAAAGAATATCAAGCTGTTCTCAACTTGCAAATATCAAAACTCTATCAGCACCTATATTAGTGAAGGTAATACTATTCGATGTAGCAATAGATGTATTGAATGCGACATACTTGGACCAGTATCAGAGCATAGGAATTGATCCTGGCACAAAGTTTTGCATAATATGGTTGGGATACATGAAAAGTTTGCATCAGTTGGTGCTGCTGTAAAATCATTTCTGTGACGCAATTTTCTTATATGACGTTTTATATTATCGCGAGATGGTAAACGAGTAACAACTTGATCAGACATATCTTGAAGGAACAAAGGAGAGAGAGTTTTTTAGCAAACAAAATTTTGAGAAAACATCTGTACCTCTGAAACAATTATTGATAATGGCATTTGATGTTTCTTGTATATTACGAGCACGATGTGCTGCTAATCGAATTTGCGAAGTTCTAATATTGCATCATCAAATCTGCAAATATCTTCGGTTGGCGGTTTTACGATATAATTAGTGATATTACATCTATGTAAACGAGAACGACAATGATGTGATGAATATTTTATATATCGCCAATAAGGTTTTTCATTTGTTGATCGATATTTTACGTATGAATAACCATTATAATCGAGACTTGGTTTTTGTTTCGTTGTACCATGAGCTGATATTGTTTCCATGTTAAAGAATATATTCTCTCATTTAAAGAATGCTCTTTTATATACTTACAACTGTAACTAATTATCTTTTTCCTGTTTATTAAGTTCATTAATTAGAAGGTTAAATCTATGATGCTTTTCTTTATCATGTTTTTATCTTTGATCTCATTAATATAGACAGTTATTGATTTTTCAATAGACATCATATTTACCTTCATTTTATCTCTACTTGCTCAAATAGCCGGCGCTGAACGTTCTTGTGCTTAACGTTCCGTGCTCATCGTTCACTAATCTATTTTTCTGATGTAGACATCATCCAATAGAGAATTATGCTCAAGTACCACAAGTACTTGTTATGTCAAGTATTTTTTTTCTACAATTTCTCTGTCGTTTGTCAGCAGATGAAAACAATTGGTGTGTATTATTTTGTACAGAAGGAGACAGTGAGCACAATGACTCTAGTACATTCATGGTATTTCATACAAGACGTAAAGATATGATTCACAATATCCATCAAATATAATAGAAGTAGCCATCATATGAGAAAAGTTAGTAGTAAATTCGAGTTTTTTCTTCTGATATTTCGTCTTAAATTTGGGTTGAGTTTATTTCTTCCTTGGGTTGAATGCAGGATTAAACACTGCATCGACTGGTCATATTTTCAGAGAAGAATCATCAAACAAAAACCGAGAGTTCAACCCAAATTACTGGGTCCGGTTGCTTCTTGTGACGGCAATCTCTGCTAATATTTGTTCATTGATTTGGGTTAAGTTTTTTCTTGGTTGTGTTTAATGTAGAACTAGCTTCTGCATCGAACTGGTATTTTCAAGGTGTGACATTTGGCAGAAACAGGAGATTTAGTCCGAAATACTGGATCTGCTAATCCTTTTCTGATGATAATCCTTGTTGATATTCGCTCATGAAACTAGAATGAGTTTTTTCTTGTCTGGCTTAGAAGCAGAATTCAATTGTACATCGATTGGTCATATTTTTAAGCGGAGTCATCGGGCAAAAATTAACAGTTTGGTTCGAAATACGCAGTTTTCCCGTCATCTTCGTGGTATTTGGGTTGACAATGTTGTCATCATTGCTGCAATGTATTGAGAGAAATAGTTTGCAGTAGTTTTATTTTGGTGACTATGCTTTTATTCTATCTTCAGGGTATGCTGTAGCTGATTTAGGCTTGGTTAACCCTCTTCAAAAACATACGGAAACATGCGAAAATGCAGAAGGGATACTATGGAAAACTTCGTGACTGATGATTTTCCGTTGCCTTCATCGTAATTCTTTGATCGTTGAATTTAGCTTTTTTTAAAATATTTTATTGCAGTAATCATTTTATCTCATGATGCCGACAGATCGCCTTGGCATCAGTGACACTGTGTCAATGGTGAATCTTGAACTTCTGTTACAGAATATCGCTAATATCGATCTGTTTAGGATGAATGTTGATCCTAGGTCGATTATTCCGACCGTCTGAAACAGCGTCTTAAACTGCCTAAAACAGCATGATTACTGCTCTAAGCGATGAAAGTCAGCCACCGTTTTTTGACTGTTTTCCGCCAACTGGGATTATGGGCCGTTTTTCCTCGACGTGTGAACGACGCTGTTTAAAGTCGTTTCATGTGAGTAATGATAAATAGTATCATGGTCACATTCTCGCTGTATAGTGTGTTATTTACATCATTTTTTTCTTGTTAACGACTCCATTTATCTACTGCATAAAGACGAGCATTATAACAGTCGTGAATGACCGTATACAACGTCGTTTGTCACCGTATTTGCATAAGTCTCTCCTCCTCACCTTCTTTAAATACTAGAAACAAAATTTAGTATTTAAATAAAATATTTACTCTTGAACATTTGATCCTAGCCCAGGTCGATCATGTCGACTGTCGGAAACGACATCTTATTTGATCTGAAACAGCTATAAAACGGCTTAGTTCCTGTCACAAATGATGAGAAACTAGCACCGTTTTCCACCGGTTTTAGCACCGTAATCTGTCATCACAAATTACGAAAATGGGGCCGTTTTCACCGGCTAACGATGAGGCCTATTGATACCGTTTTCTTATCATATGCGACTCATTTTTATTGCTCGAATTGCACCTTACGTAGCATCCTGCTTATATTTTCATCTATTATACGTATCATTTCATTACATAAATAGCATTCCTGGATACGAACTTGTCCTTACCAGCTACATGCACAATAGATAGATGAAAAAGGGGCGCATACATATCTAATAGTACATACTGTGCGTAAAAGTACCATAAAGCATTCTTTTTAAATGAAATGGTTCATTGATTAAACAGAACTACTTTCAAGGATGCATTTTTTTTACCAAGTAACTCACTACAGAGGGTTTTTGTCGTTTTCAAACATTTACACACTGTTGTTTCGATATGCCGTGAGCAACATCATTGGAATTTGGACAAATTTCCTATTAGACGTCTAGAACACAAAAGAATCGGTTCCTATCATCTGAAGAACTTGCCTATGAACAAAATGGTAAAGAGAGATTATGCGAAGATGAGTACATTCATTCGATAACTCAATACTAGTATCATGTCAACCATCGTATGATGAAACATAGAGACGTTTTTGTATAACACTTATATCATCCAATAGATCGCAACAAAATCCATCAATTTGTGCTGGAACTAGCTCAAGAATTTAATTAAGACTTCGTAGTAGTAAAGAAAAGAATATCTACGACAAAAGAGTAAAGTGCATTTCAGTCTCAGGAAAACATCTCCTTCAAATATTAAAAATCAGTCCAACTAGAAATAGTAGAGAAGATCATTAAGGTTTATCTCATAAGCAACATTAGAAAATATCTAATGATGTTTATGAAATATCTTTTTGATTGCATTGCAAAAGCGACTTGAAAATGGGGCAAAATTGTCGATCGTAACAATAGTCGTTTCCACTGGGCAGTAAACGATCACCGTAATGGATGCCATTTATCACCTTATGTCTCTGTTTTACGTTGCATCATGAACGATTATCGAAATGGAAGCTGTTTTTCATCGTTTTCGAGTCGTCAACGTTTGTTTAGGGGTTATTCTATCCAACCTGGTATATAGACATTAACTGACACAACACTGAGAGAGGGTTAACGGGTTTGTGTAATCTGAAGAAGTACCTGCAACCGATTTCTAAGTATGCAAACGTTTTTTTCTTTTTTTTTTTGGCATATCTATTAAAATACAGTATTAGAACTCTTGATAAAAAATCATTCTGACAAAATAAATACTACAATAAGACAATACACTGGCGACATCTATTCCAAGATTTATAGAATAGATTTAAATTTGTAATATTTGAAATGAAAAACTTTTAATTTATTATACAATTGAGAATAGTAAATTTTTATATAATGCCGAGAAAATGAATGGTTCTGTTAATATTCAATAATCAACGATTAAAACGTGTTCGTATGTATTTTACTAGTCACTTTCAATAAATCTCTACTGTGTCTATCTCATCAATAAATATTTGAAATAATAGTTAATAATGCCACGTGAAGATCGTGAACCAGATGAATTATTTGAAATTCGAACAAATTTTTATACGGGCAATTATCAACAAACTATTAATGAGGCAACAAAATTGAAAGTTTGTTATCCTATTGTTTTTTTTTAATATTTTATTAGTCAATTTAAATTTTCTTCTATTTTCAGGTCCCACAAAATCTACAAACGGAAAAAGATTTATTTATGTATCGTGCATATATAGCTCAAAAAAAGTATGGTGTTGTACTAGATGAAATTCGGCCGTCTGCATCTCAAGAGGAATTAGTTACCGTTCGGTTATTAGCAGATTTTCTTGCAAATGAATCTAAACGGTAATTTGTTTCTGAAATTTAAAAGAAAGAACTATACTCTCTTATTCTGTTTTAGAGATAACATTCTACGTGATCTTGATAATAAAATGGGTGGAAACGTCAAAAATTCATTTTGTTTACTTATGACTGCTTATATGTATTATCTTACTGAAGTAATTGATAATTGATTTACGAGGAAATCTGCTCAGATATCCGCTTCCAATCTCAATGATTCGTTTTCCTATAGATGCTACATAGTATTCTAATAAAGAACCTAAAAGAATTTGGATTTCTGTTGAGATTTGGCCAAGCTATCGAATTTTTTATGTCTATTTTTTTTAGAGACCCTTGGTTCTCACAAAACTCATATTTTTGAATTTTGCTGTAAAGCTTTATGCATATATAGAACTCAATTAGACTATCTTCCTGTAAAAAATTCAAAAATTTTAAACAGAGTCTCTTCCAAATACGAGACTCAAAATACAGACCGTTTTCTATGGATAATACATACAATATGCATTTTTTGAAAGCTTCAAATTTATTCAAAACTTCTAAATTTTCTCAAGAAAGTTAGTTTAATTGAGTTCTCTATATGCACACAGTTTCAGATTAAATTCGAAAGTACGAGTTTTCCAAAACCTGAAACAAAAAAATAAACATATTAAATACTCAATAGTTTACTCAAATCTCAATAGGAACCCAGATCATTTTATGGTTCTTATTAGAATACTATGTAGTATCTATAGATAAAAAGTCATTGAAATCCGAAGGAACCAGCTGATGAGGTTACCTCATTAGACTTTTATTTCTTACTTGTTATTTATTTAGAACTATGAAACTACTCTCAAGGTTTTACATAATGCTGATTCATTAGAATGGTAAATTACAATTAAATAGTTTAATAAATATTGTTTTTGTTTTATAATTTTAGTTGTGCATTAACAATTCAAGCTTTATTAAAAATGGATCGACTTGATTTAGCTAAGTATGTTGATTAATTATTTTAACAGCTTTTTAATACCAATCGTTCAAATTATTTTATCTACGAACGTTTTTTCTTCAAACTACTTTATTCATTTACTTGAATGTAAAATTGCTGTTTTAGAAAAGAATTAAAACGAATGACAGATATGGATGAAGATTCTGTTTTAACTCAATTATCAACAGCTTGGGTAAACATTGCTATAGTATGTTATGAATTTTACTTTGTTTTTCTTCTTGTTAGTTAATTATTTGTTCATATAATTCTTTAGGGTTCAGAAAAATTACAAGAAGCTTATTACATATTTCAAGAGTTATCTGATAAACATACAGTTACACCACTTCTTTTAAATGGACAAGCTGTTTGTCATATAGCACAAGGAAAATATGACGATGCTCAAACTTCACTTCAAGAAGCACTCGATCGAGTAGAGTTTTTCTTTTCTTTTTTTTTGTTCAAATATTTCATATTGCAATTTTTTGTAGGATAGCAATGATCCTCAAACATTAATTAATTTAATTGTTCTTTCGCAATTAACAGCTAAACCAACTGAAGTGTCAAATCGTTATATATCTCAAATGAAAGACGCACATGCAAATCATCCATTTGTTCGAGATTTAGCTAATAAAGTATTGCTTGAAAATTTAAATAAAATAAGATATTATGTGCTGTTGTTTTAGGCTAATGAACTTGATCGTCTTGTTCGTAATTATCAACCATCTGTATCGTCTTAAATAACAAAAAAAAATTATTAAGATCAAATAATAAAAAGACACCAGGGTGTTTGAATTCTTTATCTTATATCTTATTTGAAGCTGTTTTCTTTTCTTTTTTCTTTTTCCAAGTAAAATTCATTATTCATCTTATATGTTTTAAATGACTCGAATAAGTTTATTTCTTTGCTTTCTAAAGATTCTCTTGAATAGCAGTTTTCAAATTCAACCGAAAATCATTCAAGAATAAAAGAAAGATTTTCTTATAATAAAATTATCTGAAGCATTTTAACTGCTGCAGTTAGGAATATGTATCGTTGCTGTAAATGCTGAAAAGTGAGTCACTGGCACAGGGTAAACTGATATTGGCGTTTGCTGCAGCAATGAGACATCAACTCTATCAAAATATACCCTTATTTTAGTGTGTGCTTCAGCGAACACGGGTGTATGCACTAAGTATATCAATTAGGGAAGATCGGCAAATGTGAGTATCCGTTTTCAATTCACTTTGTGCTAGCTTGTAGAGCTTGCTGAGCTGATCACGATGGCATAAAGCATTCTTCCGTGAAGACTGTCTTTGAGAAGTTAATTTGATCTCAATATCAGAAAAATGACTGTAAGCTATTATTTCGGAGATTTTTATTTTTGTCTAAGTATAAACATGCGAGAAAACAGCTAAATAGAATATCGACTGTTGAAAAAACACGATATCTGACAAGACCTAAAATTATTAAATCTTCAAAGAAGTATTCATAGAATCTTCATCAATTTTGAAAACAAAATTTATTTTATAGATCTGCAATATTTATAGTTTTCGAAGTATTCGAAGTATAGATATAGTTAGGATTTCTATTTTTGTCAATTAATTGGATGTATACAGTTAATTAAGGTGTATCCAATGTTCAGGTTTTCAATCAATATTGAGATCGGCCAAACTTCTCAACGACAGTCTATGAAGAAGAACACTTTATGTCTTGGTGATCATCTCATTGAGCTCTACATACTTGCATAGAATCGGTTGACAACGGAGACTCGCACTTGAGTGCCTTATCTCGGAAGTCAGCAAACTGAAACCCTCACATCCTTTTTCTGCAGTAGATGTTTTCTAATATATTGCATTCACTTGCTAAATATAATTGTATGCCTTTCTATAGACTAGATTTATAATCTTATTCATATTTCAAAATATCAAGTGAAACTTCTTTTAATATTACATATTTATCACGAATTGTGTTTATTAATTCAACAATAAGTCATTATGTAATGGCATTATTAAAAGATCGTATTTAAAATTACATACATTTTCCTTGTAACATATACATATGCTTAATCATTTGTATTTTTATACGATTATTTAGATCAAATCATAATAAAGTATCGTTATATTAGACATTTTGTCGACTTTATAGATGTTATTAGGCGCTTATGAAAATAAACTTACGAAGGAATCTCTACAGGTGTCAAATCATTTTTCAATTGAGGCAAACTTTATTTGATGAGTATTAGTGAGTAATATAAAAGTTTAAAATGGTTTGATTTTTGAAGCCTTTGTTCTTGAGATATCAAAATTTACTAGATCTTTCAACAAAAAGCTTTGGCCTCTCTCAGGTCAAGTGCAAGATCGAGTTTTGACTTCAAACTTTTCACGAAAAAGGTTCTCAATGAGACAAGTTCACTGTGTAAGTTATAACTTGTTTAGCGTCTCCTATTGTGAAATACGGAATAGATTTTCCCATTTTTCACTAGTACTCATCAGATGAACATCATCTCGGTCGAAAAACGACTTGACACCAGAATACATTCCCTCGTTAGAGTAAAGAAACATTTGAAATACAAAAATTCATTTTATTTTATGGTAAATAATCGAAACAAATCCCACATTAATGAAATTATTGATATAAGTTTGACTATTTTGTTATTGAAATCCTTTTTCTAAAATATTTCGATTATTAAATGAACAACACGACGATATTACATTAAATAGAGTCTGAGTCTAGTCTATAACAAATAGTTAGAACGATAACTTTTCTGAACGTTTGACTTTTTTGTTTGTTTGTTTGTTTTTTCTAATGATTAATTTACTCATGTCTTAAACAAACAAATAATCTAATTATCTTTTTATTTGTAGATCAATGGTTATCACAGCAATAGGTTTCGAAGGTAGTGCTAATAAAATTGGTATTGGCATTATTCGTGATGGACAAGTTCTATCAAATCCTCGTCGTACTTATATAACACCACCTGGTGAAGGTTTTCGACCAAATTTAACAGCTAAACATCATCAATCAGTTATATTAGATTTACTTGATATAGCATTAAAAGAAGCTAATATTAAATCACTTGCTGATATTGATGTTTTTTGTTTTACAAAAGGTCCTGGTATGGGTGGACCATTAATTGTTGTAGCAACAGTTGTTCGAACACTTGCTCAACTCTATGAAAAACCTATTGTAGGTGTTAATCATTGTATTGGACACATTGAAATGGGTCGTTTAATAACTGGTGCACAAAATCCAGTTGTACTTTATGTTAGTGGTGGTAATACACAAATAATAGCTTATTCCGAACATCGTTATCGTATATTTGGCGAAACAATTGATATAGCTGTTGGTAATTGTCTTGATCGTTTTGCTCGTTTATTAAAATTATCAAATGATCCCAGTCCAGGTCATAATATTGAACAATTAGCTAAAAAAGGTCAAAATTATATACAATTACCATATACAGTTAAAGGCATGGATGTATCATTTTCTGGTATATTAAGTCATATAAAATCAATTATTGTTGGACATAAACAAGCTCGAAAACAAGGAAATGAAAGAAAACAAAATCAATATTCAAATGAAGATCTTTGTTTTTCATTACAAGAAACATTATTTGCTATGCTTGTTGAAATAACTGAACGTGCATTAGCACATGTTGGCTCGAATCAAGTACTTATTGTTGGTGGAGTTGGATGTAATGTACGTTTACAAGAAATGATGGGTGCTATGTGTAAAGAACGACAAGCAACTGTATGTGCTATTGATGAACGTTATTGTATTGATAATGGTGCTATGATTGCACAAGCTGGTTATGAAATGTTTAATGCAGATAAAATTCGAAAGGGTATGACATTAGAAGAAACAAATTGTTCACAACGATTTCGTACCGATGCTACATTTGTTAATTGGAGAGAAGATAAATGAAAAAAAAAAGACTCTTTTTTTATGTTTATATTTTGTGATTGAATCCTATGGATTGTTTGTTCTGAAATCTTTTAAATATATATTAAATACTACATATAAAATTCATTTCAATGTGATAATTTTTTTTCTTTCTTTTGCTTTCTTTTCTTTCAGATGAATTGTTGTTGCTCAAATTGATAAAGAGAAAAGGTATATGATGGAATTCATCTGGTATTTTTTGACCAATGCAGAAATATATACAAATGTTAATTGCCTATCGAAATGATATTTAGCTCATAAAGTAGGACTTGAGAACAGTAGAAAAAGCTTGAACGGATTTTTTCTCATAGACCGTCCCCTTATGAAGTTATGACCGTTTCATCGAATTTTCGACTTACGACAAGGTATTCCTGGAAAAATCAGAAACAATGAGTTTTCATCTCAACATGTTGGATGCTGAACAAAAGTTGAATTTATGACATTTTTGTGGAATACGATTGTTTTGATAAATATTCTATATGTCAAGAAAAAATCACCCGTTTTGACTGAAACTTTCAGAATATATTCAAGATGAGGATATCTATTTTTCTGTGGACATTTTGCCACAAACCAAGAGTTCTATTTATGAACAAAATATCACTTCGATCGACGATTAACGATTAGAAATGTTACCTTGTTAGTAGTCATTTTTATTGTGCGAAAATTAACCAAGGACTTGTATAACAATATTTATCTTTTGACTATTCCATTTCAGACTAGTAGATGTATCAGACAATGTGAAAATATAGTCAGATAGATAGAAGAAGCGACACATCTAATTCTTCTGATTCCTTTTATTCTGAACACATCAAGATAAGAATTCAAACGTATGATTATGTGATAGAAGGTAATAAATAATCACATGTCTCAAGTAGTGAAGAGAATGAGATGGGTTAGCTCGTCCCACTTTCCACGCTGTGTCTGAATTCAAGCAGAGATTTTCGCATACTATTTTCTACCAGACAATCTTGTGGAGCTCTTCACTCCGCTGGCTACTGAAAATCATTGAGACCCATGTACATAGCTTTATACTGTAGAAGTTGTTTGAAGAAATTTGTAATATAGCTTAAATGAAAGAAAATATTGATGTTCATGATAAGCTTTGAAAACGAACAATTATCCTTCGTCTATTATTTTTTCGCAGAAACTACCCAAACTGATGCCTGCTGTCTGAGTTCATATTTGACATACAAGTGTGCCTCGGTAAGACTAGCAAAATTCTGAAAATTTTCGTTCACATGGCTCCTTGGAGTCAAGTTATGATTGTTTTACTGAATTTTCGAGTCAGCTTTAAATGCATACCGAAAAATTAACAAGCAGAAGTTTTACCTGAAACTCTGTTTATATTTTGTTGTCGAAATATTGAATTTTCAAGTAAATTCGATTTTTTTATCATGGCTGTAGCGAGTGGATATTTTTTAGAAATTTTATATCTCAACAAAAGAAAATTCTTCTCGTTCGAAATTTTAAAAATTTTCTACTCGTCATTAGACCTCTCTGTAGGCGAATTTCAGGTCGAAATTCTGTTTTCTTTATTTTATTTTTCGGCATGCATCTAAACAGTGGAGCGATCCTAACTGGACTTCAAAGATCCTTAGGAACAGATTTTGTTAGGATTTTTCTAGTCTTACCGAAATCTTCTTATGAGTTCAGAAAAGCAGGTATCAGCTCGGATGATTCTCTTGTGAGCAAAAGATTAGTACACATCATACTTTATTAATACATTTTCTGTAAAATCACCATTCACACTTTTTTGTTGAAAGTATGTCAATCACTAAGAAATCTAGAAAACTAATCAGGAGATTAACTCTTTGTTTAAATCATACCAAAGTATTGAGCTTTAAAGTATTCCCTCCCAGACATGCACCAAATCCAAACGGTTTAGGCTAGAGCTTGACTTTGATGCGTGTCTATTCTTCACCAAACTGTACATATATCACTCATATGAACCAGACGAATATATTCAATTGTTTATTATCCATTAGCATGAGATGTAGAGTTAAATTCAGTGATCATGAAATAATAAACAATTTTTTCTTTGATTTCATTAGTTAATTACACAATTAAACAGTTTATATTGAAAAGATGCTTAAAAGAAGGAGACTCTTTTATTGGCATTTTGCCAATATAGCAAACACAAGTCATGGTAAAATAAAATAAAATACATTAAATGAAGTAGTACAAATTATGATCAAATAGATTTAAAATAATTTCATTATCAATTCTTTTTCTTTGAATATAAATATCGAATATTCCGACATTTCAGTATATTCTCTTAAAAATTGAATATATTTACAAGTATTATTTTCATTCTTAACTTCTTTTTTTTTGGAGAACTATCATTACAATAAAACTAAATTTATCATTTGTTTTATTATTTTAATTCTTAGACATATATATATAAAACCAAAATGTCTACAGCAGAACTTCGATATGCAAATCAATTTGAAATAATTCGTAGTGAAGAAAAAGATCGTTATATGATAAGTCAATTATCACAACAATTAGATGAACTTTATACAAAATTATTTGGTCTAAATAATTTTCATATTTATCAATCATATACACATCGTTTAAGTGAATTTTTATATTATTTAACAACAACATTATCAAATCGACAAACAATTGGAGAAGAATATGTTTGTTTAATACAATATGATCCTATTAAAAAACGAATACCATCAACAATTCGTCGTTTATTTATGATTTTTTTTCGCATATTTGGTGATTTAGTATCAAAATATATTCTTACATCATTGATTATTCGTCCAATAGCTGAAGAGTTTTTTCATCCGAAATTATCATTAGAAACAATTGAACTTATTTCTCGTTTTTTAATGACATTTATTGAGCGAGCACATAAAATATTTTTTTATTTAACGGGTTATTATTATAATATAAGTAAAATTCTAACACGTATTCGATATCTTATTTATACTCGTTCGACAGCTGATAGTATATTAATACAAACAAAATTTAATCATACAATGAAATTACTTAGTTTATGTCTTTGTATTCAACATATTATTGAATCTTATACATTATTAAAACAAATTGCTTTATCTATAAATCAACATCGTCATCAATTAAATTTGATAGCTGAAGAAGAAAAACAAAAACAGACTAAAATTATATCTGAAGATATAACATCGTCAACAGATTATGTTCGATGTCCATTATGTTATGAATTGGCTATCTCAAATGTTGCACTTGTACCTGAATGTGGTCACGTTTTTTGTTGGCAATGTATTCATACATGGGTTGCTGAAAATCAAACATGTCCATTATGCAAAACAACTACTATGCAATCCCGTATTGTTCATTTGATTAATTATTGATCTTTGTTATTACTGTTATTGTAATTTTTTTTTAATTTTTAAAAGAAATTGATTAAATTATAATTTCGTTTTTATTCTAAGAAAAGAAAAAACTATAAAAAAAAGAATTGATTTTAATTAATGAAAAACAATATTTAGTCGAGTAGATCTCAATATAAATTCAGTTACAAAAATGACTGTTTTGTATTTGGCACGTAATGAATGATTGTTAGTGTTAAATATCCATCATAGGTTACATTCTTCCTGTCTTTGTCATTTCAGTTCTAAGAACTTTAATGAATATAATGAAAATGATTTTTCTTCGGAACGATGATGTGATCAAAAAAATAGTAATCTAGAAATTGAATATTTATTGATAATGAATGGAAAACTCTCGTCTACTATGTCTGTAGAATTCATCATTTAGTTACTTTAAAAACCCATGGCAATTGTAAAGTATTGAAAAGAACATGTAACAGTCAGTATGCTTTTAATATTTATTTTAAATTGAATTGAATTATCACCATCATTTGATTCGAATTTTCGATATGAACCCAATTAGAACCCGAATGATTTTTCAGTTTGAATATTTCTCACTTGCGAATAGCCTATCAGCCAGCTATCCCAATCATAGAAATCAAGATACAATAAATATAATGTAGGCCGAGTATCCAAAAAAAATGAATTACTTGTAATTTTAGACTTTTAATAATTATTATATGTTTTTAAAACAAATTGTTCATTTTAGTAAAAAATCTATTCGTTTATATCATCGATATCAAACAATGTCAACATTTACATCACGTACAAATATTGTTACAGGAAATAAGGAATGGATGTTTATTGATAATGATAATTTTGATTATCAACAAGAATTAGCTCGTTCAGCATTTGCTGATATGCTTCATGATCATGAACGTAATGTACAATATGAAAAAGCAATTATTAAAACTCTACAAAATCTTGATAAATCGGTGAAAAAAATTCATATACTTGATATTGGTACAGGTACTGGTCTTCTTTCTATGATGGCAGCAAGAGCATTAAATCAAATAAACAATACATCTTGTTTTTCACGCATAACTGCATGTGAAGTTTTTCAACCAATGGCTAAAATTGCTAAAAAATGTATTGAAAAAAATGGTCTATCCGATCGTATACATGTTATTGATAAACGTTCAACTGAACTTGATTTAGAAAATGATTTACAAAGTGATAGAATTAATGTCATTATTGCTGAAGTATTTGATACAGAATTAATTGGTGAAGGAGCATTACGAACATTTTCTGAAGCATGCAAACATTTAACTATAGATAATGAAAATCTTCATACTATACCTGCACGTGCTACGATTTATATTCAATTAGTTGAATCATCATTACTTCAAGAATTTCATACATTAAAAACTATTTCTCAACAAAATCAAAGAATAGATATACCAAATGATTGTCGACATTTAGCTGGAAATACAATTTTTGATTTAAACTTAAATGAATTAAAAGATTCTATTCGACCATTAACACAACCAATATCAGTATTTAATTTTAATTTTAAAAATATTAATGACAAAAATAATTTTACTGATGAAAAAATCCTTGAAAATATTCAATGTGATTATGATGGACGAATTGATGCTTTTATTATGTGGTGGAATCTTGATATGG